CTGTGTCTGTTTTTGCCTAGCCAGATAGAGAGAGGCACCAACAGGCTGTCCACTTGGTGGATTTTTTTTTGGCTATGGCCAACCCATGAAACAAAGAAGAATACACAATGGACCTTTATCTGCATTACCCCTTTTGTTTCTCAGTGCTGATGGCAGAAAAGGGGGTAGGGGACCTAAGAATTACAGTTTTTAAGTCATCAGTTAACATCAACTTAGACGTTGATACTCTAAGTATGAGATTCTTGCCTAGGGACCAGTATATGGACATACCACTGGAGAAATTAAATGGTATCCATCTTAACACTTGCTGAAAACTAAACCAGAAGACGGCCAAATAAAAGATGACTCCCACATTCTCCTTGGAGAGGCAATCCATTGATCAATCAACTAGAATTCCTTAAGAACTTCCTCTGTGGAAACCACTGAAAGGAGTTGGATTGAGTTTCTATTGGATCCAAAATTAAGTAGCAACATCATTTCATGGGACGTTTAGTTATCTTGTACTTCATTTCTTATGATAAGTATTTGCACTATGAAAATGATTGCATCCCCAGTTACTTATGCAGCAGGGACGAAGAGATAGAGAAATTCTAAGAACTCCCTAAGACCCTTAATAAGAGTATTTGAGTGTCCTTTACTGACTTATGTGGCAACTGATCAGCAACACTAAACACACTTAGGAAATTAGTCTCATAGTCTTCCCTTTCTGGAATTGGTCCAGATTTCTCCCCTTCCCCAAAGTCATTCTGAACTTCAGTACATGCTTCAAAATGCTGTATCACTAACAGCTATGATTCTTGTAGTTGGCATTATCATACTAATCTAGGTTAGTTCTGGGAGTTTTTCCCATCTATAAAATGGGAATAATAATAGTCTCTACCTCATTGGATTGTTGTGAGGATTAAATGAGATTTTTATATATACATATGTATATGTAAAACACTTTGAAACCCTTAAAGCTCAGGGGTTCTTAACCTGGAATCTGTGAGCCTGTTTTTAGAAATATTTTGTTAACTATATTTCAGTATAGTTTCTTTTGAAGGCTATTATATTTTGTGTGTTTAAAAACATTTTTCTGAAAAGGTGTCCATAGGCTTCACCTGCCAAAGGGGTCCACAACACCAAAAAGTTGAACCTTTACTCTACATAAATATTAGCTACTACTACAACTAATTAGTAGTAGTCATAGTCATAATAATAATAATAATAATAATAATAATAACAATAATAAACTTGCTGCCAATCTGCCTACCTTATAATTCTAGATCAGCCTTATAAACTTCCTACCCTTGACTAATCCTGATTTGATCTTCCTGCCCTTGATTTGATCTGACTAGGTTTGAAGCTCTGTTCTATGGTTTGGGCTAAAACTGATTTGCTGAGGTGAGAAGTATAAGAACCATTCCATATGACCTTTCCTCAAATTTATTCATTTCATCTGAAATGCTGCTGGGTTTAGCCATTGCTAATTCTCTTCTTGTACATTAGATTTATTTTTCCAACTTTATTTGCTGGGCAGTTTTCTTTCCTTCTTGAAATGTAGATGTAGACAGTCCTCACTTTATGTAAGTGGACTGTTCCACAGCTCTTTACATAAAGGGATTTTTACGTAATGGGAATTTGCCTATAGACATGGGGAAGAGAGGGTGGGGAAGGAAGCTGTGCACCTGTGGAGGGAGAAGGCCAGCACAGAGTTCGAGGACATGTGGGACAGAGAAGTGAGAGCAGGAGGAACACATTAGGGACCTGTCCCGAATCTAGAGGAAGAACATGCTGGGGGCAGACACATGAGGGCTAGACACGAACATAGACAGGAGAAGAGGGATGACATGAGGAGGCTGGGAAGATACAGGCAATACCCAGGCACGGACAGACAGAAGACAGACACATGTGGCCCAGCAAAGGTTTCTTCTTTTTGTGCTGGAGGTCTCCAGTCAAGCTCCTATCTGCCACCAGTGGTGTGGTAGCAGTCTTTCTGCATGTTCCTTTTCCTGCTTTAACTTTGAGGGGTTTTTTAAGGGTTTGTTTGGTGGGTGGGCTGCCCAGTCAAGGGGCAGAAAGGAAGCAAAAGAACAGTACTATACAGTAAAATTAACATAGGTATTTTTTTGGAATGCAGATTTCTTTCAGAATTATTTACATTGAGTCAGATTTGCTTAATGTGAGTTTACAGTAAAACAAGAACAGTCTATGTAATTGCATTTTTTCTACTTTAAGTCTCTCACATGATCCTGAACGTCAGCTTCTTCATCTTTAAGATGGAGAACTTTAGCCAGACAACCTCTGAGGACCCTTCCACCTCTAAATCTGTAATCCTATGACATAAGCCCAGTCCTTCAAGTGCTGGCATATTCCAAATACAGACTTCACCTACCCAATCATCTCCAAAGCACTTAGGAGAATCATAGACTGTTAGAACTGGGAAGAACTTTAGATGTCATTTAGTCTGACACCCTCAATTTGTGGATGAAGGAACTGAGGCCTGGAGAATTGAAGCATCTTGCTCAAGGCCACAAAGCTAGTTGAAAGCTGACAGCTGGTCTGGTGCTCTTTTCAGTCAATCACATTCCCTGGCCTGCTGCTTTCTCTTCTTCCATCCTACACTAATATATGCCCACTTCCCCTTTTTTGTTGTTGTCCTCAGATGCATCTGTGATCTCACCAGTGTAGATGTTCCCTCCAATAACATAGATCTCAACCTGTCCCTACCTGCCTGCCCTGATGACTTTTATGTCCTCCCATAACTTCAACTCAAGAGGGCCACCCAGTGTGCCAGGGGATTTCCTCACTTTCTTCTAATGTTATAAACACACACACACACACACACACAGAGGTGGTCCATTGGTTATCCCTTGCTCTTGCCATGTGATCAGCCTTTCTTGATGATTCATTTCTTTGATGATGCTTTGAACAAGTCGTGTTACTTCTCAGGGTCTCATTTTCCACATATGTAAAATGAGACCTTGGATTAGATAACCTCTGATGTTCTTTCCAGCTCAAAAATCTGTGACTCTCTTTCCATACTGTGATTCTGCATGGTTCTTTGTTTTGTGTTTTAGCCCGCTCTTGGGTCCTAGATGCCTTTCCAATGCCCTCTTGAGTGGTACTCAACTTTAATTCTTCGGAGTCTGTAGCATTGTTCTGTGACTTGCAGCCATAGAGAGTCAGTAGAATATTGCTATTTAAAAAGACGGGCCTTTGTTTTGAAGATAAGTTGGTATTACTTAAGGAGTCCCACTTTTTTTAAAAGCCATCTCACCAGTTCTTCCTGGCCTACCTCATTCTGGACCCAACTTGTAATCCATTGGCACTATATGTCTAAGAGACATATATGTATAAACAAGCTTCATTGTATCACTTAGACAATAGATACTCTTTAACTCTTGAAGATGTAAACTTTCCCATGAAAGATGTTCATAAAATTACAGAGTATGAACTCCATGGATGTATTTGTAGTAAAGGTCTCAGACTGTACTACAATGAATGACCAAATCCATTGAGAAGAAATTGGTCAATAAAACCCCTATCAGTTTTGTGCTGTTCTAACAACTAGGGAAGATCCTCATTAAACTTTAAAAATCCAGGTTAAATTGGAATGTGGCTGAACACAATTATCAGGGAGTGAAGGTCACTCCTTGACTTCATACTAGATGATGTTTTTCTGAAGATTTTTTTATAACCCATTTTCTGGGGAGAAGCTATGTTCTTAATTAAAAAATCTAATTTTAAAGTCAGCTCTGACCTCCTTCCTCCCTCTGTACCCAGAAGCCTACCTCTTTGATTGCATTTCACTTGTGGAAATTAAGTCTTTGTTTTCTCTTGTCACTTGATTGCTAATTTCTCCATAACAAGCTAGTATATAGCAAATAAATCCAGGCTTTAAGGATAGTTTTAACAGATTCTGGTGGTTTTTCACAAATTTGAACTATGAAAAGAGTCTATACTGCAAAAGTTCTAAGTCATTTAGAGACTTTGTTTTCTGTGTGGCCTGTAACTCATCTGTTAAGCTATTCTTTCACAGAGGGGTGTAAACCATTTGAGCAGATTAACATGCGTTAATGTGGCAAGAATGATTCCCTGATTTACATCAGGTGGTATGTTCCAGCATGCTGGGAGGCTGCTATTTAAAGAAGGGTTGCTATCTGGGCAGAGCCATTTCCCCAGGGTAAGTAAAATCAGGGGAAGAAGAAAAAGAAATCCACATCCTTTGGGAATACAGTATTTTTTCAGGAGAGAAAAACATTTTTCATTTATTTTCTAGTTTGTTTATTTGCATTGAATTGCATTATTTCTTCTGGGAGACCCTGGATCTGGGGCTTCAGAATCAAAAGTTGTTTGGGAAAAAGAATTTGGAAGATAAGAAACAATATTTGGGTTATTTTGTGTGTGTGTGTGTGTGTGTGTGTGTGTGTGTTTTGCCTAGATAGATGACAATTAATTTGTGATTGTTCTGGTTACCTACCAAGGGTGGGGAACCTGCAGCCTCAAGGTCACATGGGGTCCTCAAGTCCAAACTTCATAGAACAAATCCCCTTAATAAAAGGATTTGTTCTGTAAAATTTAAGACTCAGTCAAAAAGCTGTATACCCAAGGACCTAGAAGGCCACATGTGGCCTCGAGGCTGCAGGCTCCCCACCTCTAAGACCATTAGCTATTCTCCCTCTTCATCTAACACTGATACCAGGAAGGAAATGAAAAAAGACAAAGTTAAACCACTCAATTTACAAATAGACTCTTTTATAAGAACTAGTGAGAATGCTAATATCATTGACTAAAATGAAGTTCTATTTTTTAAATAGATTTCAGTTATTCATCTCAATCCTGGCGCAGCTTTTGTTCTAAATTAATGAGAATTTCTATGTAAACATGGAGAAGAAATCTCAATAAAAGTCACTGTGAAGCAACATTTCTTTAGTGGGGTGGGGTAGAGGAAGATGTAGAAGTGATGCTTCTGAATTGTTCATTGATCTGAAATCAGCATTTTTTTTTGTCATCTACAGCATGGCCGGACACCACTACATCTTGCTGCCAATAAAGGCCATCTTCCTGTTGTCCAGATCTTGTTGAAGGCAGGCTGTGACCTGGATGTCCAGGATGATGTAAGTAAAGGGATTGGGGGTTGTTCTCATGTCAAGAATCAAAATCTGTCATGAGAAGCATATGGTATAATTAAAAGTGATAGTGAAGAGATATGATAGTCCAGGCCAGACTAACCTCTATGATTCCCTCATGTAGGTCAGTCATACAAGGGAAAATAATTCTGAAGATCAGCCTAAAAGGATGTCTTGAATTATATACCCAGTAGCAAATTTAAATAGGAGTCATGATGCTTGGTTTCTCCAGTCACCTGTGATTTCTCCATCTGATAGGACTAACACTAATGGGTATTGTTTGCCACATGTTCAACTTTTAAGTACACATAAAGCCTCACTGGGACTCCCTTGTGACACTGATTTATATGTAGATCAGGGGTTCCTACCCTGGTGTAATTGGACCTGCAAGGAGTTGGTGGGTAGTCTGTGAACCTGGGTGAGGAAAAAATTACATCTTTATTTTCAATAACCTCTAAAATTTAGCATTTCTTTCTATTATTTAAAAATAATATTTTGAGAAAGAGGTCTCTAAGTTTCATCAAGGCTCGAAGGTGCCATATCACAAAAAAAGTTAAGAACCCCTCTATTAGATGTATTTATAGTTGAAGTTTCTTAAAGCTTTAGGATATAAAATGAAGGAAGAAGATCAGTTTTTCTTTTTCCTTTTTCTCACTTTCATTAATAGTGTAAATCCTCTTCAAGATCCTGCTAGAATATAGCATTAACCTGCAGGAGGCAACTTCAGTGGCTGCTGGTGAATGATATCTGATTTGCTGAGGGTCAGCCTTAAACATCAGCAGACTGACAGTTCTATATAAGAAAAGTCAATAACTATTTCTCCCTACGTCATGTAATCATACCCTTGGAAGCTACTATAGGCCTCTTTTTAATTTTTCTTTTATTTTCAGCTTCAAATTCACTGTATCCCCTTGTACAATTAGATCAATTCCACCTATGTATTATATAGTAGTGTTCTCTGATAAACGTGGATATGTGTGAGAAAAGTACAGGTCATTTGAGTCCTCTTGAAAATACTGAGTTTAATGTAACCTCCTCCATATTAGCTTTTAATAATTCCCGAAATTGAACAGATCTACACCTGTAAGCAAACCTGGGTGTGGCTAAAATGGGATTCACCAACCTGTTCTAGTGTTTCCAGAAATCATTTTGCAAAGCCCTAATGCCAGGTATTCTTAGAAATGTAACAATGATGGCATATCCAAAGAAATAACAGAGCATGGAGCTGATTGTACACGTGTATGTGGCTATGCATGATATGGGAGTCTTTCCCATTACTTTTTTTTTTTGAGGCTGTGTCTCTTTATCTCATCAGGGCTTGGAAGCTCGGAGCCACTCACTAGCCTGAAACTAATTATGATCAGTATGGAAGCTTAAATACTGGGTCAGTTTGTCTCTTCTGGGGCAATGTAATGGCCTTCTGATTCCATGGGGCATTCGACATATTAATCCCAGACTTAGTACAGACACTTAACTGGCTTATGCCCTACTGCAGTTCAAAACTTTCATACTCAAGAGATCCACAGGTCCACCAGCCTCAGCTTCTTCTAGGGCAGGGATTATGAATGTGTGCCACCATGCCTGACCTATCCCATTCCTTTCATGGAAAGGCTGTGCATTTCAGCAGAAGCAAAGTTTTCTAAAGAAGATAGGTTTAACTAAATTTACTGATCTCCAGTGTGTGCCTTTGAGGGGACACACACACACACACACACACACACACACACACACACACACACACACCATCAGAACATTCCTCCATAGACAAGATTACCTCAGTGCGTATGGTTTTTGTTTTTGAAGTAAGTGACTTGGAGTAGAAGAAGTTGGATTAAGTTGCTAAAGGTGTGTGAGACAGCACACAATCTCATATTCTGGTGATGTGATCACATCTTCATTTATACATTGACAGAAATCCGGTACTTGACATGGAGAACCATGGTAACTACACACATTTCCAGTGGCAGGTCCTACAGGAGTCATCATGCAGCTGGATTTCAATGGATTCAGAAAGCATTTGTTGTTTGACAGTAACCAAGGCTATTTTTATGGGGGTGGAGGAGGGAGAGAGAGTAGGCAAAGGCGATGATCGATCAAGATGGCAAACATCAGCATAAGGAAAGTCTTGGCTAATTTCAGAGGATAGCACCCTGCACTCCCTCCTTGCTCATGCACATGAAATTATTAATTTTCTTGTATCTTTACCTTGTCCTACGCAGAAATACTTATGTTTCCTCTGTTATGTGCTGCATTTTAAAAACAACCACAAAAACTTGTGTTGTTATCATTAAGAATTCGGAATGAATGATGTGGCCAACCCTGGCCTCTGTTTGTAATGAAAGAATGAATTTCTAAATGTATGAGCAACCACAGATTCCAGTGTTTCTGTCTCCAGAGTGGTCATAATGTGCTGAGTGGCATGGTGTTGAGTGGGGAAGCCATTTGGTATGGTGGAAAGAGCACTGGTATTAGAATCAAAAGACCTGGGTTCAAATCTTCCTTCCAGTGCTTACAACTGGGATGACCTTAAGCAAGTCTCTTCATCTCCCTGAGCCTCAGTTTCCTTATCTGTAAAAAGAGTGGCTTAGATTAGATGAATTCTGAGGTCCCTTCTAGCTCTAAATCTTAGATCTTATGAGAAGTCTTTGAGTATGCTTGCAAGTATCAGTAGAAGAAAGTTCCATGCCTTTGTTCTTTTAACAAGACTGGGAAAATTAATGAATGAAATTATCTACCTATCCTGGACAGTGTGCTGATAGTGAACATAACTGTTGTGAAGAGTTTAAAACCCTAACTTCATATTCTGCAGATATTGTTCTTTAAAGTCATTTTTAAAGACTGATAATTAGTGGAAGAATGACCTTCAGTGGCCTGGAGTGGGATTATTATGAATTTCAACCTGTGGAAACCAGTTCTTTAGAGTATGGAACCCCAGGAGCTAATTCTCTCTTGCTTCCTGCCAATCCTGCCAAATCCTATTGGAGCTCTAACGAGGTCTCTGATTGGTCCATGAGTATTCACACAGAACACACCTCAGAAATAGTCCAGGACAGAGCGGCTATGGTGAAAGGCATCAAGGAAGAGAAAAATAAAAAAGACCAGAGGAGAAAGACTAGGAAGGAACCTAGAAGATCAGAGAGAGAAAAGGAGGTCAGCAGTTTCCTTTGTGCATCTCTCTGGCCTCATGCTTCCTTTCAGCAGGCTTGCATGTGTGCCCTGCCCTGGCATGGCATGATTGCTCCTGAAAAGATGCATGCTTTCTGCTTGTGTGGCTCGGGGTTAGTCTTGTCGCTAGGCTTAAAAATCTCTCCCCACTATTTCTCACCACTCTCAGTTTTCTGACCATTTGGAGGAAAGCCCAAATAGATCCAAATCTAAGGATATTGACTCCAGAGGTTTCAAATTCCTAAAAGCCTCAAATTTAGATAGATAGATAGATAGATAGATAGATAGATAGATAGATAGATAGATAAAAGGGATGTGGCAGGATATCATCAGTTCGTGAAACCTAGTACATAGCTCAGTGTCTTCCTAATCAGAACTGCTGAGTGAAGAATCCCTTGTTCTTCAGATTACCAGTTAGTACAACCTCTCCTCCCACATTTTGTTGATCATTCAGAATATATCTACAGTATTTAGTTTTTTCATATCCAAACCATTCATCCATCCAACAAGAATTTATTAAGCACCTACTATGTGGCCAGGTACTGTTATAAATAGTAGGGATACAGAGACAAAGGAAAATTAATCCCTGCCCTTTGAGAACTTACATTCTATTGGGGAATCAACATATACACATACAAATGAATACATGTTGTAGAAAATAACATTGGGGATGGGCTAGCAAACAGGATCAGAAAAAAAGCCTTAGGTGCAGAAAGTGGAATCTGAGCTGAATTATGAAGGTAGCTAGGGATTCTAAGAGGTAAAAGTGAGGAGGGGGCACATTCCAGGGATGGGGTAGATAATTTGGGCAGATCAGTCATAAACCAGCAAGGATTTATTAAGTGTTTATAATGTGCCAAGCCCACTGCTAAGGAGCTTCCATTCTAATGGGCAAAGGCAGAGTCAGGAGATGTAATGTTGGGTACAAGAAACAGCAAGGGGGCCACTTTGGGACATTAAGGGTAATCCTGTAGAATGAAACTAGAAAGGTTGGGCTGGAGGCAGGGTGTGAAGGATTTTAAAGGCCAATGAGAAGTAGTGTATCATAATGTCTAGAGTGTTGTCCTTGGAATCAGGGACACCTGATGGATGTGTAACCCTAGACAAGTCAACTTTATCCATCTCAGTTTCCTGCTTTGTAAAATGGGGATAATAAATCCTACTCACAGAGTGGTTGCAAGGTTAAAATGAGATCATATTTGTAAAACACTTTGCAAACCCTAAAACATTACATAAATGCTAGCTAGCTAGCTCTCAGTATTCTAGTCTATTCCCTAAGATTATAAGTTGCAAAGAAGATGATGATCTGCTTTGGTAGAAGGAGTTTCCTCCTTTGGGAGTTCCTTATGTCAGTAAAATCACAGGTCTACTCCCTGTCCCTCCCATTTTAGTGCCACACAGAGGAATTTGTATTTCATCCTACAGGCAAGCCAGTGGAGTTTGATTTTGATAATTGCTAGGAGAGACAGCCCAAATACCACCACTTTTTCTGGCTCTTTCCAAGAATATCCGAGGTTTGAATTCCCTCATAAATAAGGAGACAACTCTGAAAACAGCTCTGAATTGGGAGAATCAGGAGAACTGAATGCTAGTCTGGACTCTGCCACTAGTTCTCTGTAATACCTTGGGTAAATCACTTCATTTCTATACTTGGTTTTTTCATCTGTAAAATGGAGGGATCAGACTAGATAGTCTCTTAAGTTACCTCCTAATGCTGATGTTCTTTAATTTTTGACTGTCAGTAAGGGAAAGACAACTCAAAGTTTGATTCAGAATGATTAATAGGAATAGCTAACATTTACATAGCACCTCCTTTGTGCTAAGTGCTTTACAATTTTTCTTTAATTTGATCCTCACTACAACCCTGGCAGGTGGGTGCTACTATTATCCCTATTTTCTGCATGAGGAAACTGAGGCAATAAGAGGTTAAGTGACTTGCCTAAAGTCAGACAGCTGGTAAGGTATCTGAAGCTGGATTTAAACTCAGATCTTCCTGACTCCAGGCCCAGTGCTCTATCTATTGGCTATCCAAGGCTAGCTTATTGCTAATGAGTAGGAGACTGGCCTCCCCAACCACTTCTGGGCTCTGAGAAGTCATGGTCTTTCTGCAAGACTCCAGTTTGGTACCCTAGTGTGGAGGGATGTCTCTGTCTTTAATCCTCAGGACCAGATCCCAAATATTTTCTCTTTCCAGCTTTAAGCCACAAACATACTCAAAATCACTTTGTGGTGATTTCTTCTGCAGTTGACCGAGGTGTCTTGCATAAAGAGCAGGCACATGGCAGATTCAAAGAATTATTGCATATCTTATCCTACAGGGAATTAAAATGGACCTAAAAGTGGGGGCATCACTCACAGGAAGTGATAGGCTTTCCCTATCTTTAGCTTCTAGGATAGGGTAGGGGAATAAAACAGCAGGTCCCTATTGGCGAAATGCTATATCCTTGAAATTTTATTGCGTACGTCTTCTGCTTAGCACAGTGCCTGGCTCATAGTAGGTGCTTAATAAATGCCTCTACCTAAGATGTCCCTCCACCATACCTTGCATATAGCATTCATTCAAGAAATACTTGTTGAAAGGATGCTATTAAGACTACTGTACTCATCCTGTCATTTCTTTTAAAGATTTTAGGCATTCCTGGAGGTTTTTTTAAAAGTCATAAAGGAGTTAGGGAATATGGTTAAGCTATATTGTATGATTCCCAGTGCAGCTTCTAAGTGCCTTTTGGGGCTTTTTTAATGATGACTGAATGAAGTGTAGAAACATTAAGGAAACGTTTAGCTGTCTCAGCTGTAGTCCTCAAAGTAGGAGTGTTTCAGCATCAAAGCTTTTGCCTTTATGGGAAGGTAAGATTGAGAGCGGTACTGGCCTTGTCTGCTACTTTTGGGAGCAGCATGTAGACAGGGAGTTGTTATCCCTTCTTACTCTTCTCTCCCCTTTACTTAAAGGAATTCAGCTTTAGTTATAACTAAGGGATTGCTGAGTTCAAATTGCTGTCATCTGTGCCTGGAATCATTTTCTTATAAGCTGTGCCCCTAAAGACCCTTCACTCTATTCTAAACAGAGCTCATTATCCAGTTGTAGAGTGACCTAGGTTCAGATCTCACCTCTGAGGCTTATCGCCTGTGTGACTTGAAAGAAACCACTCAACCTTCCTGAGACTCAGTTTCTCTTCAGTAGTAAAATCAGTAGGTTGGACTACCATATACAGCTATTTTTAAAAAATGTCGACATAGGGCTGTATAATGTGATCTATGAAATGGATAAGAGAGTTCCCATTACATTTCTCCTAGGCTATCAGGGATGCTCTCTACCAGAGCTGATAAGCCATAAGATGAAAAAGTCATGGGTTCCTCTTTGTGTGATGCAGATAGAGCTCCAACTGTTATCTCGTGATGAAAGTCATCTGATCTTTGTGTGATTCTGATAATACCACTGAAAATTTACAGAAAATACTGCCCATCGTGGAACTGAATGGATGAATTTAGCTTCTTGGACTGAGTTAAAGAGCAATTTTCCTTGGAAAGGGGGATTTGTTAGCTTTATGAATTATAAGAGAACTTAGAGCATCACAGTCTGAAAGCTGGAAGGGACTTCAGTGGTCATTTTGTATATTCCATGCCAGAAAGCTATCCCCAGTATAACATACCCAAAAAAGTGGCCATTCCGCTCTGCTTGAAGACCTGGCCTCTGAGGAGGGAAAGCTCATCACTTCTCGAGGCAAGCCAGTCTACCTTGGGACAGCTTGACTTGTTAGGATACTTTTCCTGACATCAAGTCTAAATTGGCTGCTTTGACATTTCCTCCCAATATTCCTAATTCTGCCCTTTGGGGCCACGCAGTATAAGTGTAATCCCTACTGTATATGACATCTCTACAAGTACATGACCACAGCTATCATGTCCCCTTGGAGCCTTCATACCACCAATCTAAATATGTCCACTTCTGTTAAGTGATCCTCCTATGACGTTTACTTTAGCCCCTTCAACATCCTGGTTGCCCACCTCTGAAAGCTCTCCATTTTAATAGTGTCCTTAAACTACGGCACTCAAAACTGAGCACAGTATTCCATGTGAGACCTGAGTAGGACAGAGTATAGAAGGCTTATCACCTCCTTATTCCTGGAAGGTAGGCTGTGATGAACATTTAAACCTGTATTAAAGTGTGGCCAGGGGGTGATGGGGAGAGACAAGATCATAACAACAGGTGCCCATGTCATTAGAAAAGAATGAAACAGGTCCAGTAATAATAGTATGGCTGATGTTGCTGATAAGTCACATTCACTGTAGGCAGGGGGTTTTCTGTTAGCCCTGTGGAAAGCTCTTGATGAAAGCATCATCAAACATCTGGTAGGGTCAGTAGTGGATTGGGGCCTTTTGTCTTGAGTCCTTTACAGATCCATATGGCATACAAATGGCACTTTTATGCCATGTGTAAATGGTCTTCGTTTTTAATGAGTCATCTTGAACAAAACACTTTTGGGGAAATGATAGTACCATTAAAATTTTTTTAAGAGAATGAATTCATAGGATCATAAATGTAGAGCTGGAAGGAGCCATAGAGAGATAATATTCACAAAGTGCTTAGCACAGAGCCTGGCACACAGTGAGCACTTAACAAATGCTTGTTTCCATTCTTTCTTCCATTCTCCTAATTTTACAAATGAGGAAAACTGACACTCAGAAAAATTACATTAACTTAGCCAATATTACACAGGTGGTAAGATAGGTAGGATTTGAATACAGGTCTTCCTGTCTTCAAGTCCAGGATACCATCCACTGTGCTGTGCTTGAATATGAAAGAGAAACAGACATTGCAAATGCTATTAAATGGGCTAATCTTCAGAAGTGTTTTTCTGATCTTTGAATTTACAGAGGTAGATAAGGCAGGTATCATTGTCATCACTGTTTTACATCTGGAGGAAACTGTCTCAGAGAGGTTATATGAGTTGGCCAAGGTCACACAGCTAATAAATGGCAGTGCCTATCCTCAACCAGAGATCTTCTGACTCAAAATTCAGCCTTTCCTCTGTAAAGCACTGCCTCTGTAGACCGGGTTCTAAAAGTTCTTATCCTTTAAAAAATGTTTTTTAATTAACATCTTTAATATCAAGAAAGAAAAATAAATTAGATATCTGAGATTAATCCACTTCTAATTTGCATCCCAGGTAATTACAAAGTAATAAAATCATCATGTAAACAGATCATAATTCATTCAAGTTAGCTCAGAAGAGGCCTCTTCTAGCACTTAGGTTTTATGAATTTACAAGTCTCTTCCTCTATGGGCTAATTGCATGTGTCTAGAACTCCTAGTGGTAGAACCAGAGAATGTTAGAGCAGGAAGGAACTGTAAAGATAATGCAGTCCAATACCGCCCTTTTAAAGATAAGAAACTGAGGTCAAAGGGCCCAAGCTTACACACTTAAAATTAGGACAAGAATTCAGAGCTCCTAACTTTCAGTCATTTCATTGATCTTTCTACTACCCTAGAAAAATCATTCATATTTTTTCATTGATCTTACCATGTATTCATCTGGGTGACAGTATAGAAGCAGACTTGGGGCAGGTCACTGGACCTCCCTGGGCCTCAGTTTTCTTGTCTGCAAAATGAGGGTGGTGGATTCTAACCTCCAAGTTCTGTTCCACATCTAAAATATATTTATATTTTAAATATATTTTACATTTATATATAAATAAATGTATCTATGTATATTATATAATATTTCTATAAATATGATATATAAATATATGTTAAACATATTTAAAATATAAATATAAAATATGAGATATTATTTTCTTTCTTGATTTTCCTAATTGTTTCATAGAGAAGATTTGCTTTTAGATTCCATAGAAGAAGCTTTCTCTGCTATAGTACTGATCTTTCCATATTTAGGAATGTCTTTTCCTTATTTTTCTTTTCTATTTTTCTCCTTTTTCCTTTTGCCTTTCTTTTCCCTCTCCTCTCCTGATCCTTTTCTCTTTCCCTTTCTTACCCAGGCTGAAAGTGTAGTGACTACTCATAAATCTGGTCCCAAGGCAGCTGGGTGGTGCAGTGGATAGGGCAGTAGCCCTGGAGTCAGAAGGACATGAGTTCAAATCCAGCCTCAGACATATAATACTCACTAGCTTGTGTGACTCTGGGCAAGTCACTTAGCCCCAGTTGCCTCATATTAAATACGTGTGTACACACACACACACACACACACACACCACACTCTGAGGGGCAGCTAGGTGGCCCAGTGGATACAGCGCTGGCCCTGGAGTCAGAAGGACATGACACTTAACACTTACCATCTATGTGACCCTGGGCAAGTCACTTAACCCCGATCGCCTCACGAAAATAAATAAATAAAATCTGGTCCCAATGCTGATTGGCTCAAAAGCTTTGATCTACTCTTTCTTATCTGGGTTAGATCACCCACCCTCAAACAGTCTGATTCCTCCCCCCACTCCCATCCCCGCACCAGTCTCAGAGGTCTTCTGTGTTGTTGCTGGACTTAGTGAGAATCCCTGAAGAACTACATAGCTCAACTGATCCACCAGCTCTAGCCTACCCCAGGAGAAGGGATTACAGGCCTGTGCCACTGTGCCTAATTATTTTTTATTTGAAGTTGAGTGAGAGAGTCAGATTCCATTCATCCCCTTGAGAGACAAAGGGAGAAACATTTGACAATCCCAAGAACCTAAACCCAGAGAGGGGTCAGAGACAGTATAAATTAGTAAGAATGGTACACGAAATTTCAGATGAGACTTAGAAATAAGCTCAGCACAAAGGCTTTATGATTATAAAGTGCTTTGGTCTTAACAGATCCCCAAGAGCTCCTCGCAAGAAATCCATGAAGAATCAACCACTTTGAATTGCCATTGACTATGACCATCATGGGACAGTTGACAAATTGCTAGCTAGCCTGAATTGTGAGGTGGTGATGCCTCCTGTAATGGAGAAAGGGCTTATCTACCCCAGTTGCGTTCCAGTTCCTGCCTCTTACGATAAACTGATCCAATTCTGCCAGCACAGGTCCTCGATTCGTTCCTCATGCCAGGTGTTAGGTACACTATCTAGGCAACATCTTCTCACGGAATCTTTAAAATGTTTTAATTCACTAACCCCTTCTGCTTCCTAGGGCATTTGTTGAGGTGCATAACCCCTATTTTGCAACTGTAACTATATGGCATAGAGTTGTTTGGGTGATGGGATTGAGATTCTGCTGGATCAGTGGTCAGGTGGCAAGTGGAAGCCAGTTTTCTCTATCCAGCACCCACTCTTCCTGAGAAGCACAGAGCCCCTCTCATTCACAGTAACACGTTCCTGTTTATGTTCTTTATGAGTCTGCCTGTCAGTAGCGGGCACAAGGTTACAGCTGGAGAGAATTAACTGATTGGTAATGCCTCACTTTTCAGGGGGATCAGACTGCACTGCACCGAGCTACTGTTGTAGGGAACACCGAGGTCATAGCCGCTCTCATTCAAGAGGGGTGTGCTTTGGACAGACAAGACAAGGTAAAAAGAGAAATCTCAGACACTGCTCTTGTCCCCTGGGTTCTGTGTGAGGCCACACATGGTTTGTAGATGGTCTATAAGGAACATGTCCTAAATATTTTTTAGGATGGGAGCTGAATAACTCCAAGTAAAATGAATGGGCTAAGACTTGATGATTGACTGTATCTTACTTAAATTGATCTTATAAGAGGATCTAGTCTCTCAGAAAAGTTGATCTTTGTACTTCTCTACCTACTTGGTAGCTTTAGACTGTATATGGATCAACCTATTTTTTTTTTTTAAATGTCATGTATTTCTCAGGCAGCATACTGACTAGAGAGCTGGCCTCGGAGTCTGAAAATCCTCTTTCTGATACATACTGGCTTTGTGATCCTGCATTGGTGAAGACAGTATACTATAGTATCCTATGTCAATGAAATCACAAGTACAGTCACCAAAAAAAGAAGGGGTAGGGGACCTAGCATGTTGGGTGATAGGTTTTACCCAAAGAATGTGTGTCCCTTCCCCCCCCCTTTTTTTTTGCTTTCCATATTTCCTCTGATTGGCATGCTCATATATACTTATCCCTTTGTATCTCCTGCATAATTTTCATTCAATACTAGTGTCCATGGCTACTAGCTTAGCTGCCCTCCAATAGCAGTGCTCTCAATATTTAAAACCCCTGAAAATAGACTTTATGGCAAAGCTACTCTAAAAATGGAGACCACCATACCCAGGGTTACCAAGTATAATCTTGCCAAGTACCAGGAGTGTTGGAGCTGACCTCTAACAATTTTTTTTAAGTTTACTGCCAGCATTAGGAAGGCTGGCTGAAGTCTGACTAGCAGTCATAGGTCAAATCAGCAAGTACCTACTATGTGCTAGGTGTTATTCTAAGAGCTGGGGCTACGAAGAAAGGCAAAAAGGAAAAAAAAATTCCTTAGTCTTAAGAAGCTCATGATCCAATGGGGGAGATAATGTGTATGTAGTCATAGGCAGAGCCCAAGCTCACTGGCAAAGAGTACCTGTCCCTTCCCCCATCTGACTGCCTAGTACACAGAATCTTCCTGACAACTTGGAAGAGAATGTAACTGTTTTCTCTTCAGACCTGCCACTCTTTGTCCTCTGCCACTCTCTTCCCTGTAAGGCCTCAGGCACAATTCCTATGGCTCAAATGATTAAATCTTTAAGAGCTATGTAAATGTAAGCTATTATTGTTGTTATTATTTCCAACAAGAAAAAAAAAGAGTTAAGTAGTAAGGGGTCAAGAGAAGGGGATGAAGAGTTGTTTGGTTATCATTTTAAAATTATGTAACTACAGCAAATATGGGTACCCCTTTCACTGAGGATTCAAAGACAAAACTACCTACTTGGTGATGCATACTGGAGATTCGAAGACAAAAAATGTAAGAAATCCCATACCTCAAAGGGTTTACATTCTACCAGATAGTTGCCTTATCTATTTAATGACAAACCACCTTTCCCTCAGTGTCTCTTCAGGTTCTTGGGTTTATTTGAGTATCGCTTCATTAATTCACATTTTAAAAGAAGTGAATATAAATTCTACCTGCCCAATTGGACACTGTAGATTTGTGAGTGGTCCCCAAGCCAGAGGGTATACCATTATACTCCCATGTCCCAAGTCTCATAACTTGGGCTTTGTTATTGAAACTTTTTAATATTTCTCTCTACAGCTGATATGAAAAGTAAAGTAGGTCGTGGGATAATTAGGTCAACATGGGGCAGCTAGGTGGCGCAGTGCACCGGCCTTGAAGTCAGGAGGACCTGAGTTCAAATCCGGCCTCAGACCAAACACTTGACATGTACTAGCTGTGTGGCGTTGGGCAAGTCACTTAACCCTGATTGCCTCACTAAAAAAAAATAAAATAAATAAAAATAAATAAAAAGATAATTAGGTCAACAATCATTTATTAAGTGCTTACTGTATTCCAAGCACTGTTCTGTTAAGCACTGGGGATACAATGAAGGGCAAAAAGGAGATCCTGTTCTCAAAGAACTTACAGTCTAATGGGGATAGATATGAAGCTGGATGAATGGATAGGATGATGTTTGTGGAATTCTTTTCTCCTAGCCTTGGCTTCTGGAACATCCCTGGTGTAGCCCAGAGGTCTCATTGAAGATTAAGTTGTTCAGGAGTCCAAGACCAGGTTCTTTATGTCTTATGTGCTCTTAAAGCATACTTCCTTGTTCCAACTCAGAAGTCTAAATCTGCTCTTCCTGTCTCTGTGTGTGTGTGTGTGTGTGTGTGTGTGTGTGTGTGTGTGTGTGTGTTTTCTGTAGGATGGGAATACCGCTCTTCATGAAGCATCCTGGCATGGCTTCAGCCAGTCTGCCAAGCTTCTTGTTAAAGCAGGAGCCAATGTGCTTGCCAAGAACAAGGTGAGATGCCAGCAGGTGACCGAAACTTCCCATTCATGAGGTAGAGGGAGCTGTGTATTTCCTTTCAGGCTGAGACCTGGTAGTGACACTTGTCCATGGATAATGACTGAATCATGCCCTGGCACTCAGAGTTTTGGACAAGAGTGAATCCTGCCAGGAAATTCCAGCTGTAGAGGTGAGGCCAGGGGCAGGCTGACATCTGACTTAGGACAGCAACTTCACTGAGAATTGCATTAATTATTGCTGAAGTCTTTCCCCCCTCCCTCCAATTCCTCTGGAAGTTTATATCCAGTTAATGTCAGCATCTTTCTGTTGCAGTTCAAAATCAGCTTAACCAGAAGGTGATGACAGATGCTCATGTTTATGTCTGGCATGATGTTGAATGCCTCTCTGTTCCAATGAAGCCCTCCAAAACCCAGTCTTCTTATGTGCATTCCTCAGGATGGGAATACCACACTTCACACTTGGCATAAATAAAATATTACTGGTGCTCATGAGCAAGTAGGCAACAGAAAGAAGCCAAAAAGAGGACTTGGCCTTGCCTGCTTTTGTCCTCCTGCAGGTCCTGTTTAATATTTTATGGGGTCCCAACAATTTCATAGAATAATAATAAATGACACAAATGTAGCACTTTAAAGATTGCAATGTGCTTGATGTAACATTGTCTCATTAGGTCCTTTTGATAACTGTACAAAGTACAAGTATTCAAAGTAACAGTGCAACAGGAATTATTATCCCCATTTTATAGATGAAGATATTGAGACTCAGAGAGGTTTAGTTACTTGCCCAGGATCAGACAGCTACTGTCAGAGGTGAGGTTTGAGCTAAGTCTTTCTGACTGTAAGTCCATTATTTTGTCCACAATGCCAAGCATGCTACTGCTAATGCACAGGAGAAGTTGGCATTCCTGCTGCCAGTTATAGTCAGCAGACTCTATTAGAATATAATACTAACAACAGAATAAAAAACTCAAGATTAGATGTGGCAGTGGAAATTAGGCAGTGGCCCCACTTATAACACATACCTATGTGTCCATGGCAAACACTGTGGTCAGTAATGAACTCCATAATAAGATATTTTACCAAGCCATGGATGCATATCTTCATTAGGGACACAAAAGATCTTCAAGATTGGGTAAAAGATCTTGTAGATGGCAAAGATACACTCAACCAGTAGAAATTATCAGAGGTAAACTGTTGACCCAGGATTGGGCTAGACACTCAGAAGGACGTAAAACAAGCATAAGACAGGTCAAGGAACTTACACTGTAAGTGATCGCCTACTTTTACCTCATTTGGCATTTCTAGAGGGAGGGAAAGAAGGAAGGAAGGGAGGGAGAGAAGGAAGGAGGGAGGGAGAGACTGGAAACGGAAGCCCTCCATAGAATGACCCCAACCTACCTTTCCAGTCTTAACTCTCATAATTCCCTGCATCCATCCATTCATTCACTTACTCAAAAAGTATTTTCAGCTGTCTGCTATGTACTTTCTGGGAAAGCCTCAAAAGGGGCTTACTGTTCAGTAAGGAAGTAAAGTAACTCAAAGAATTGATTCAGGCTGCTGGGAGAAATTTGAGAAGAGAGAGATTGCATTCACCTGGGGCACCAGGAAAGGCTCCATAAAAGAAGTGTCACCTAAGCTGAAACTTGCTAGAAAGGATGAACCTAGGCTGATCTAGTTACTGTCCACGAACTTTCTCTTCCTTGCTTCAGTTGCCTTTGTGATACTTCTGTAACTGACCTTCCCCATCTTTCTGGATTCTCTCTTCATCCTTTGTACTTAACAAAATCCTTCAAGGTCTGGTTCATCGCTCGCCTCTTCTTTGAAGCTGTCATTGGAAACCTTAGCCACTGCTGACTCACTCTGAATTCCTGTTTTATTCCTGTTCATTCCATGTAGTTGATGTGTATCCCATGCTGTAGTGTACTCTTATTTCATGTATATGTGCCTTATCTCCTCAACTATATTGAAAAAATTCTTTGAAAGCTCTTTGGAAAACAGAGTTTGGCAACTTACTACAGCACATAACAGAGTACATTACACATAGTAGATACTCAACACATATTTGATTAATTGATCAAACCAAACCTATGAAACCCTAATGATTATTTAAGACCAAAACTGAACTGGTCATAGGGAGGTAATTCCTTCCCTTGAAAAGAGGGATTTTCTCTTTATGAAGGAATGAGCATGAGTACAAGATCTAAAAACCTCCCTTGTGGCTCTGGTGCTAACACCCCTTAACTTCCTTTGATTTTTGAGGAAATACTAGGACTTCCTAGCATCTGCTAAACAGAATATGGAAAAAGATGAAGTTCCTTTCTTAGCTATCTGCTATTAGCTATATATTATCTCTTTACTAGCTATCATTGTCATAATGATGACAATACAGTAATAATAGTAATAATGTCATGCATTTCTGTAGCAATTTAAAATTTTCAAATCTGGGGCAGCTAGGTGGTAAAGTGGATGGAGTACTGGGCCTAGAGTCAGGAAGACTCACTTCCCTGGGTTCAAATCTGGCCTCAGACACTAGCTGTGTGACCCTGGGCAAGTCACTTAACCTCGCTTTCCTCATCTGTAAAATGAGCTGGAGAAGGAAATGGTAAACCACTACTGTATCTTTGTCAAGATGGAGTATCAATCCAATCCAATAAACATTTATGAAGCTCCTATGTTCCAGGCATGGTGCTTAGTGCTAGGGAAGCAGTTACAAAAAAGAAAGACAGCCCTTCCCTCAAGGAGCTTATAATTGAATGGGGAGACAGGAGAGCCTGAGGGAGACAACACTCTAAAGGACATAGGAACGGGGAGGGGTGGGGCATCTTATTCCATGAATTTGAAGCCAGGGGAAAGCAGCAGGTGCTGAGTGGAATAAGCTGGGGAAGGTCCAGTTTCTGCCCTCTGTAAAGGAAAGCATTGGGAAAAGTTTAGTACTCCACTCTGTAGCCCTCCAGTCAGAGGGGAGAGAAGGCATGTGGCGTCAATCAAGGCTTCACATAAATGATCTCATTCTGTCCTGTGAGATAGGAAAGTAAGCCAGGTATTTTCCCCACTTGACATGTGAGAAAACTGAGCCTCCAAAAGTTTGAGTGGCTTGTTCAAAGCCATGCTGTTAACTGGTGAAAGAGGCAGTTTATGAGCAAGTCTAGGTTCTTTCCAGGAGACCACAGTGCCACCTCTTCCAGGCTGGGAGAGAAAGCTTGAGGGGATGTGGCTCTGCTATGCTTTTGCCCATCCCTGACCAAAAGGTAGCTATAGAGTGCTGGCCTTGCAGTTGGGAAGACCCAAGTTCAAATTTGGCTTCAAACACTTATTCTTAATTACTTTACACTTAATAGCTGTGTGACCCTGGGCAAGTCACATAAGTTTCCTCATCTGTAAAATGAACTGGAGAAGGAAATGGTAAATCACTCCAGTATTGCCAAGAAAATCCCAGATGAGGTCATGAAGAGTCAAACATGACTAATTGACTGGAAAAGCCATACTTTTCTTGCTAGTCTGCCAGTCAGTTTCAGATAACCCTCTGTGGCTGCAACCCTAGAATTGGCTCCCACTTGGAGATCAGTGGGCATATTGCTTAGAGCAAGGATTGTTTCATTTTTTTATTTTGAACCATCAACACCTAGTGCTGTCTGGAACATGAAAGGAGTTTAATCAATGGTTGTTGACTAATTGATTAGGACAGTGAAAGAAAAATGCTAGATTTAGAGTCAAGGCTCTTTTTGAGTTCTTAGCCACTGTGTTCCTCATCTGGCTGGATTAATAACATCTGTTAGCATAATTTTGTTTGAAGTAGCATACAAAAGTAATCTTGCAGAGCTGAGCATTTTAATTATAAAAAGAACTGCCTAATCTCAATCACCTTGCCTCTTTCCTCTCTTAACTAGGGGTGAGAACTCAATTGACCAAGCCAAGAGACACCTCTTGTCCTACTACCACTGAGTGTCACGTGTAAAAACATGTACAGGCTGCTCCTTGATTAGTGTTAAGTCCTCAGCTAGCTAACACCTTTCTTTGTCTTGCAGCACCTCTTGAGGCACTTGCTGGTAGTTATAATGAGAAAGAAACCCAAGGATTAAAAAAAAAAACTCATAGGCAAAGTTCCCTTGTTTTCGAAGATCAGCCAGGTATGGTGCCAGTGGAGTGGAGTGCCAGTCTTTAGAACGGGTTTTTATAATACATTCTGAACTCAAGCAAAGATGGGAGGTGGGGGAGAGAAGAAAGTAACTTCTGAATTGGTCGCTTATATGAACCATTCCCTCCCTATCAAAACACAAGGACTCTGGAGTTTAAGATCATCTACAGGTAGTTGCATCCCAAGGGGAATATAATTCAGTGAGGGAGAAGCAATCAATAGGTTCCTTAGCAACTCTGAATATCTCACTTGGCCCAGCTTCTAATCTCAACAAGAAAGACAGTGAGTATGTAAATTCAGCCAAATAAAGTATAAATAAACATGCCAAGACCTACACCTCTTCACCTGCTACCTGTTTTTCTTGCAAAGGTTATCAAACTGGCCTCTGGGCCTTCCACAACAATTTCCAAAAAACAAAACAAAACAAAACTTGGAGTCAGAAAGCTGATTCTGCCATTTATTAGCTGGGCTAGTCACTTGAACTCTCTGGGCCTCTGATTCCTGGGTCATATGGGAATCATAATATATTTACTACCTCCCTTACAGAGTGATTTTGAGGATCAAAGGTAACTGGAAAGGGCTATGTAATTGTGAACTGCAGTTAGATAGAACATTGGATTTGGATTCAGGAAGACCTAGGTTCAAAACTTGCCTCGGATGCTAGTGGTCAGACCCTAGAGAAAAAGCTTAATGTCTCTGTGCCTCAGTTTCCTCATCTGTAAAATGAGGGGATTAGATTAAGTGGCCTCTAAGGTCCCTTCTAGCTCTAAATCTATGATCTTTTGAGGAGGGAGGTCTACTGAAATAGAGTGGAAATGGTTATCCTTTATCATTGAAATAACAGAAAGAAAACTGTTTTAAAAAATCTAAAATGAGAGGTTTCCATTATTTAGTGACAAATCACATATATACACATATGTGTGAATGTATATGTTATATATATGTGTTATATATCACACATACTATATATGTATAGATGTATATGTATGAGTAGGAGAAGGTACATGCCACCTAGAGCTGATCCCCCATGGAATATTTTCAATATTGCACTTAAAATGAAGTTCAGCATTTCCAAATAATGGAAATAAATGGAAAATTTGAGAAGGACTTGAAAGGACAACACCTATCCTTGTTTAGGTCCATTCATCATCCTTTTGGGGCACCATCCTGAGGTACTCTAATAAAAAAAAAAGAAAGAAAAACTTGATTTACATAGAATTCTATATTTCCATAGGGAATATGTTTTATCTTCCTTAGTGATATTATTTGTCTTGATAGTAGCTATAAACAAGGAAGCAATTTGTATTATGGCCAGTTGTCCCCAAGGATCTAGAATGAGGCCACTCATCAGCTGGTAGAGGATGTGACCTTTTTGTTTAGTTTCTTATCAAAGTAAACTTAAGGTCCTACAACAGGCAATTCCTGGCAGTTGCTAATTCTTTATAATTTCCAAATGTTGTCCTTAATTCTTCTTGGTCTCTCCCCAAGGCAGGGAACACCGCTCTGCACTTGGCTTGTCAGAACAGTCATTCCCAGAGTACCCGGGTTCTTTTGCTGGGAGGATCTCGACCTGACCTCAAAAATAATGTGGGTAAAAAAAAATGCAACTTGTGATTCTCTTCTCTCTCACCTTGGGAAGCAGATATGTAGAAAGCAAATCTTGGGAGAAAAAGAATCTAGACAGAAAGGTTAAATAATTTCTCACAGTTGCTCTAGAACATGGTCTATTAACCTTATTTCCATTATAGTTATTTAGAGATGTGGTGGTAGGAAGATATTTCAGGTGTAGCTTCTACCTTCCCTTCTCCCACCTTACTCTATTTATTTATGAAATCAAGTCCAGAAATCAGCAACCATTTTTAATGTATCTTTATTTAAAATCTCATGCTGAGAAGCTTTTTTCAATTCTCTAAACCAAAGCCTTTAACCTGGAGGCCTTGAGTTTATTTTTTTAATATGTTTGTAACTATTCCTATATAATTAGTTTGTTTTGTGATAGTATGTGTTTTATTTTGTGCATTAAAAAATTATTCTGAGAATGGGTCCATAGACTTCACTAGTGCCCATAATACAAAAAAGGTTAAAAACTTATGCTCTAAAGAGTATCTAAAGGTAGAGGCAGATTCCCAGCTGCATCAGGTCTTAATATATCATTGCAGTGGGCAAAGTCATGCTTAAAGCAGCTGAAACATACTTTGGGCATTTTTTTTTCCCATACTTCTCTCCTCTCTATGTATGGCCCCTTTGGAAAGGTGCCAGATTAAGAGGATTGCTTTGACTGTAGGCTGTATTACAAATCACTGTAAAGGAAACCCTTCTTGGGAGGGCTGGTGACCTTCTTGTTTTCACGAAAGGAGATCTTGCCACAGAGCTCTCAAAGTTGGTCCATGACCTAGAGCTTTCTGCTCAGTCCTTTCTGGACTCTGGTGCCAGCAGTATTAGACTTGCTTGCTCCTCAGCTTCTAGTAGAGCTGTAACATTAACTCAGGGGGAATATATCTGGAACTGTTGGTAATTTAAGCTACATTTGTAATGTAATCTGCCTCCATTTTTACCCTCAATCTTTTGAGTCAAGTTTAGTATCTATAATCTCACTTGGGAGTAGCAATCTCTTCACTGTACATTGTGTGAATGCACTGCTCTTTTACAAATGGGTCACAAGACCATGGGCCCCGGGACTATATTGTTCTCTGTGGGTCATCACCATCCCCACTCTGAATTATTGCTAATGTCATGGCAGTGTCATACCCTTGGATTCCATTAGATAGAAACCCATGCTTTTAAAATCTGGATTGACCATTGCACTAGCCTGCCCCTGTCCTCCCCTGATGGATGTGAACTGGCAATGGGGAATCTGCAAGGCAATATTTTGTCATTTCTTTGGCTCATCCTATAGCACGAGAGATATAGGAAAGGCTGGATACAGTTGGAATCTTGCCTCCCACTGAAACGTTAAGCAAGCAGAGTCTGCCTTAGGTCTTCCTAAAGTCTCTGTGGGGAGCAGACACCCACTGTATGAAAAATGGAAGCATTTATTCCAGTTGCCTTCGTGGGCTGCTCTGTACAATGAGTGCACAGTAGCAAAGTACAGTGAGACTGGAAGCACAACATCGGTTAAAAGATGTCGCTTGCAGTTTTGCTTTTTGCTGTTGGTTTTTGTTTTGGTTTTATTAGTCGAGGAAGGCCATTCTGCCAAGATCTTTCCTAGCCTTTCTTTGCTTTTGCATCTCCAGCTAGAAGTAGTCAGCTTAATAATGCAGGTGGAAAGCTCTCAAAGGGTAAATGATGGCTGCAAGCTTTCTCCTTATTTGTTTTTATTTTGTTCTGTTCCTTTTACTGACCAAAACATGCTCAGAGTTTTATTTCTGTTTGCAGGCAGGAGATACCTGTTTGCACGTTGCCGCTCGCTATAATCACTTGTCCATCATTAGGGTTCTCCTCAGTGCTTTCTGTTCTGTCCATGAAAAGAACCAGGTCAGTGCATGTATCTTATACTACAGCAGTGCACCCTTTGTACAAGGCTTGTTGACATGACATAGACTTATGCTAGGCTAGAGGCTGCAGCTGACTTGCCTCCTTTGAAACTTCTGGGAGTTTACTATAAATGGCCGCCGGGGAACATGGGTTCCAGCCTAATACCATAGCACTAGATTCCCCAAAAAAGCCTTATAGAGAGGGTGTGCCTGTGGTTTCTTATCATTTCAATGCATATCACCACATTTGCATAATGAACACATTCTGCATATACTGCAGTGGTTTCTGTTGTTTCGTTTTGTTTTGTTTTTTTCAAACAAACACACTCAAGGAAAAATTCCACTGACAAAGAATTGTGGCTTCATGGAGCAAAGGAATGGGATTCTTGTGATCTGCTGGGCTCTACCACTGGCTTCATAGGTCCTGTCACTGCTCAGGCCCTATAAAGATAAAGCTTATTTATTTGTCCTTGTGGTAAATGTCAGACTTCAGTGTGTTGACCCATGTGAGGTCCCTAGGGTGTGCCAAGGAAGTATTAATGATGCTTGTTAGCATATATAACTACCTGTAAATTTATTGATCACTTGAAACCTGTAAGGGACATGGGTTTGCATTTTTGAGCTGGGATACAGCAATGTGAAATTTAAAAATAAAAAATGTCTGGGAATGTTTGGGATTCACTATACTTCAAAGAAAATAGTTTTGTGCTGTCCCTATTCCAAAGGACAAACAGGTGATCCTGGAACAGTAAATTATCCTGGCGAATAATATTCAGAACCCCTTCTGTTCTCCCCTCATCAAATAAAAGAAATCCAAACTTTACCTATTCATTATTTCCCTAGATTGTACACCAAGGAATGGAAATGAAATACACATTTCTTTTTGACATTTATTAAAGGAAAGTGATTATATCTAGATCCTGATTAGTTCAAGCAGTGAATTTCCCTTAAGTGGTTGCCTTATTCTGATTCACCTGCCTATTTCCATTGGGTTGGAACCAATGACCATATTTTACATAATTATAACTCCGAATAATGCAACTCAAATACATTGACCACCATAGCTGTGTAAGCAAGACTAGTTTTATGTATATAAAGTTAACTTATTTTATTTTTAATGAAAGTTGGCTCTATGGGGATATATCACCAGTTATGAGAAAAGAGTAGATCCTTTTGATTTCTGCTGCTTTTTTTTTTTAGTAACTGCTTGTTTGAGAGAACACTAGAATTGGGAATGACTAAATCAGCATTGTCTAACCAACAAATTAGCTGATCTTCAGTAGTAGTGGTAGAGTTTATATGGAAATATAACTCTCCATAGGACAAATAAATATACTTTAGATTTCCCAGGATAAAAGGTTATGTAGGAAGTAGAGAACTAGTTAGTAGTTAATTAAAAGATCACATTGGCTCTTAGCGCCCTCTGACCAGTGAAGAAAGGCCCTAAGAGTAAGACTGCCTTAATACAGGCATATAAAAACAACTTGTGCTGGGGTGAATAGTTTGTATAATACAACGAGACCCTCACCCCCCACTACCACCACCTTAGGCAGCCTGTTGTCAGCATTACTGGCTTAATCCTAAACCTAGAGGTTCATACGGACTCTCTACATCTTCCTTTCACAAGACGAGAGAAGCAACTTCCTCGGACCCTCAACAGCTTCACTTTCTTGTCTGTTTGCCCATTGATCTATCCCAACACCGACTTTTCCTCAGCCCAGTAAATAAGCTTTGGAGATCTCCTTTTACTAAGTAAACCCACTCCAACTTTCTCATGCTTCCTGAAGTTGACTCTGTCCTCAGTTCCTAGTATTTCTGCAGGGGAAAGATGTCATTGGAATTCAGCTCAAAGAATGTTGGTAGTCTTGTAGTTTGCAGGGGTGGGGAACATGGGTTCCCCATGTGAGACCACATGTGGCCTCAAGGCCAAAGGTTCCCCACCCCTGGTTAGCATTTCCCAAATGGGAATGATGTGAACAAGGGTGCTGTGAAAAAAAAAATTATGCCAATATTTTCTACTCTAAAATATGAATTAGCAGTCAGTCAAACATTTATTAGGTTCCTACTATATATCAGTCATTATATTAGGTACTGAAGACACAAATACAGAAGCAAGCCCTCAAGGAGCTTATATTCTGTTAGAAATTTCTATGATGAAATTATGTTTGTATCAAAAATACTTATATGCAAGAGATTTTTAAAACTTAGTATGAAAATAAGCTTAAATTTTTTTATTTTTTTTCTTCAAAATTTCCCTAACCCTATTTTATTCCAGGGGGAATTGATTATCCCCAGGCAAACTTGATAAGCTCCAACAAGAAGATAAAAGCCTCAAAAGTTTCCTATGAATTGTAAGCTTGGGATATGCTGATCTCACTCAGCCCATCATTAAGAACAGCTGTCTTCTGCCAAAGAAATAAATAACTCTTTTTTTCAGAAAAGTCTCTGTTTAGCAGACCTCAGCTCAAGATTCATCCCTGTTTGAACTTGAAGAGACACAGCCCAATTCAGGATGGGAAGGACACGTAAGGAAGGTACTCGAAGTTCCCGTGACGGTCGGGTTTTTTTCTGTTTAATTTCAGGCTGGGGACACAGCTCTTCATATTGCTGCTGCACTAAATCACAGAAAAGTGGCTAAAATCTTACTGGAAGCAGGAGCTGATGGGACAATTGTCAACAATGTAAGTGAGGCCGTGATCCTTTCTGAAATTCTCTCCATCACTCTTCGGAAAACAACATGGGAATCTTTTTTGAAAACTACACATGTAGGGCAGCTAGGTGGCGCAGTAGATAGAACACTGGCCCTGGAGTCAGGAGGACCTGAGTTCAAATTTGGCCTCAGACCAAATTTGGCCTCAGACACTTACTAACTGTGTGACCCTGGGCAAGTCACTTAACCCCAATGCCTAAAAAAAACCAAAACCAACTACACATGCCTCAAGGAAATCAGTCCAAGTCCTTCTGCTTCCCAGCATCTCAGTGAGCATGGCTCCACAGAGCTGTAGTCCTTGGGGAGAGGAGAGGAAGGGTTCCTTGTGCTTAGTAGCACAGGCAAATGGATAGATGAGCCCTGACGTGAATTCAGTAAACAAGAGTCTACTCTGCTAAATGAACAGAGAGCTGGAGCCCTCAACTGGGCTCCACTGAGCCCGGGAAGGAAGGAAATCTGAGTCCAGTTCTCTTGGGCTTGTTTGTTACTGGGGTAAATGGCTTGATAATTAATTTCAAAATGAGGGATGAACCTTGTAGACCCCTTGTCTTCCTTCTCTAGAGTTTATATTCCTCTCCTTTCTAGCCTTGGCTATCCCTTTTCTTTATACCATGAGCTGTAATGTCTATTCTTCCTCGCTCAGTTCCATCTCAGTGTCTGAGTTGGAGCGAGGTTGAGTGCCGTTGGGTTAGAAGAAGGAAAGAGTACAGGGAAGCTGGTGGTGGTGGGAGGGCAAGGAAATGAGGTTGGATGGCTTGCTCTGGCCACTAGCTATGCCTGTAGTACTCTGGAGCTAAGCCTATGCTAAAAAATCACATGGTGCTGATAATCTCTTAGAAGTGTACTCCATGGGGTAACTAGGTGGTGCAGTGGATAGAGTTCTGGCCTTGGAGTCAGGAGGATATGAATTCAAATCCAGACTTAGACACATGACACTTACTAGCTGTGTGACCCTGGGCAAGTCATTTAACCCCAATTGCCTCACCAAAAAGCAAAAAAAAAAAAAGAAGTAAAAAGAATTCACCATGGTTAAATATGACTTTTCATGGACATCAAAAAAACCCGCCAAATTTTATTGAATCTAAAGCTTTTTTGTATATTTCCATCATCACTCTGAAGGTTGAGGTACTGAAAATTTGGTAAGCGGATGTCTACCCCCAAGGACCTACCTATCTGCTTATTATCCATTATGCCAACTTTTGGGTAAACATAATTACATTACATAATTGGTTCCATAAACCCTTACCTCTCTGTGATTCCTTCCCTTAGGCTGGTCAGACTCCACTAGAGACAGCCCGGCACCACAATAATCCTGAGGTTGCTCTTCTCCTCACCAAAGCACCACAAGTAGGTTTTTAATCCACTTTTTATTAGTAACTAGTTTCATTGGTCCCTGTTATACTTATTCTGTCTGGCAGTTCTCAGGTTGCCTATTGTATTCTGGTTAATGACTGGATACATAAAAGGGCTTTGACAAAGTATACTGCTTCTTTTATACTAAAAATCCTATAAAACTCGTTCACTAAAGGGCCTTTTTTCAACGTGATGCAAATGACATATCTAAAAACCACACTCTAGCATATTAGGAAATGATGAAATACTTGAAGCTTTCTCAGTAAATACAGGAATAAAATAAGTATGCCCCCTTTCTACAATTTTGTTAAACATAGTTGCAGCATTGCTAGCAATAGCAAAAGGACAGGAGAAAGAAATTTAAGTCATAACACAGACAGAAGGGGCCAAAATGATCCTTATTTGCTGATGATGTCATAGTCTACTTCATTTCTTTGCTGATTCTGGGCTTTTCTAATTGAGACAGTAGCTTCAATAAAATAGTAGGATAGAAAAAGAACCTATGAAAATCAAAAGCATTTCTGTATAGTATTGTGGTTCATGCTGAAAGAAGACTGTGCTACACTGATTCCAAACATAGGAGAGAGAGATGTATAATGGAACTGAAGAAAGTTAAAAAAAAAAAAAAGACCACATTCATTTGCATCAGAATCCTATGCCATGATAAATATAGAAATTTTGCCTATGAGCTCAGTTATTAATTTTCATTTCATAGAAATATAACTGATGCTCATCAGTAAACTAGCGACTTTAGTAAGTCACAAAGCTTTTCATGCTTTTCATTCAGAAATTTTAATCACAGAAATGAGGTGGTTCTTACTGATAGCACCCCTAGGATTAAGAAATAGGTGAGGGCCTCTATAGATACAAGAGCTACCAGGCTGCCACCTTTTAATAACCCTGTAAGGGAACTGTTAATAGAAATATACCTTTTGAAGTCTTACAGGAAAGTGGTTTCCTTGTTGTGGGAAATTGGAAATAGATATGAAGAACTTTGAAAAGTAAAAAAGTCTGAACAAATGTGAGGTATTTATTCATTCATTTATACATTTGTATCTTCAGCAAACATAGATTAAGAACCTACTGTGTGAGTGCACCTATGAGGTTGAAAAAGTCTGTACTCATAATAATGATAATAATAATAACTAGTATTTATGTAGCGTTTTAAAGTTTGCAATGCACTTTCTATATGTTAACTCATTTGAGCCTCATAACAACCTTGTAAGGGAGGAAATATTATCCCCATTTTGTGAATGAGAAAACTATTAAGGTTAAGAGAAAAGTTAAGTAATTTGCACACAGTCAGACAGAAAGTGTCTAGGGCAGGATTTAGATTCAGGTCTTCTTAACCTCAAAGCCTGTGCTCTATCCACTGTGCTACTCAGCTGCCTTACTCTGTGACCCTATTTACTATCTACTAGAAGTGATTAAACATGCCACCAAATGTAATACAAATGAGACTATGAGAAGGAAGCAAGAAGAGTATAAAGTACTATGAGATCACGGTTGTAAGCTGATATTTCAGTGAATAACTCTTCACATCTACTCAATGATAATGTCTTGTCTTGCAACCACCTCCATTTTCCATATAGAATTCCCAGGCTCATGTTGCCCCGAGACCTTCATTTTTCTGCAATAGCCCAAGTGTGGCCATATTATTGCAATCAGTTCTCAGGACCTTAGAGGATCCATTGGGTAACAGAAACTGTGTGAGTAAAATTTAGCACAAATTCTTTCTCCACATGTTCTCCTTCTGTTACTTCATGAAAAATAGCCAAAGCCAAGGGTCCCTATGCCCCTTAATTAATAGTATACAGGATCATGAATAATACTAGAGAACAATTCATTTTTGCATATCATTATAATTTCTACACATTGCCTTCATTTCTAAATGAAGGAGCTTTTGAGTAGATATAAAAGAATTTTTGGCATTCTCTGTGATTTAAGTTTGAAAACAATTTTATTGTTCGCATTATCCAACAAGGCCTTGTTCTAGTCTGTCACATGTTGAAAAGAAGTTCTAGGCATAATGAAGGTGTAATGAATCAAAGGGTAATAAAGAAGGTATTGAATTCTGGGAGTCAGGAGATCAAGGGCCTTGTCCAGGTTCTCTAACCTTGGGCATGTAACCTAAGGTGTCTTGCCTCATCTGTAAATTGATGGGTGTTCGACTGTTTGACCTCTCTGTTCTCCAGCATTTGTTGAACTTATAAACCATTAACATAAGGATGCTTCTTTCTTAACTCCCATGCTCACTATCCTCTGATTCTTAGGGACCAGAAAAGATTGATGACATTCCATTTAGTGGGCACTACCATTCAGAGAGAATCTGCAGCCCATGCAAAGTTATTTCCACCATCTAGGCACATGTTACAAGGAGTTAATCTTTCCGATGATTATTTTTATCTTGGATGACCTTTATTTACTTGCCTAAAAGTCACTTGTCAATTTTTATTGACATGATGCAGAAAAATACGTCAGAATGTGCGTTTCAAGGGAACTCTTGACTCATGATCTGATTGAAGTCACTCACTAACATATGGGCTAAGAAAACAAGTCATTTTCCTTACTATAACTAAATTCCACTCTAGAAATACCTTATAAGATGAATAGTTTGCACAGAGTGGGTACCTAATAAATGATTATCACAGCAGCAAACAAAGGATATGGTTCATTTGAATAACAGATCATATGATGGCAAATATTTTTTAGTACTTTTGTATTAGGTTGTCATACAGGGGAAATCCTTTATATTACCTTGGATACATCACTTTCATTTTTATAAATAATGGAAAAGGATAGTCTGATGTTAAGAAAGTTTAAAGTATCATTCTCTGCGTTAGTTATCACTGACATCTTATTCCTTCAATAATAGTATTTATAAAACGGCCGCTAGATGGAACAGTGACTAGAGCATAGGCCCTAGAGTCAGGACCTGAGTTAAAATCCAGCCTCAGATACTTACTAGCTGTGTGGCCCTGAGCAAGTCACTTGACCCTGCTTGCCTCAGTTTCCTCATCTGTAAAATAAGCTGGAGGAGGAAGTGGCAAACCATTCTAGTATCTTTACCAAGAAAATCCCAAATGGGGTCATGAAGAGTCAGACATGACTGAAACGACTGAATACCAACAAATATGCTTGTGTCTCTTCCTGAAAAAAAAAAACCCTCATTTGATTCTTCCATCTCTGCTATCATCTTATATCTCATCTTTCCTTTGTGGCTAAACTCCTCAAAAAAGGCCATCTACAACAGGTGCTTCCATTTTAAAAAAAAAAGAGGGTCTCAGAAAGGCTTCCCATATAAGATGAGATTTTAGGGTCAGCTAGATGGCACAGTGGAAAGAGCTCCAGCCTTGGAGTCAGGAGGACCTGAGTTCAAATCCAGCCTCAGACATTTGACACTTATTAGCTATGTGACCCTGGGCAAGTCACTTAACCCCAATTGCCTCACTCCCCTCGCCCTCCCCCCAAAAAAAGGAAAAGAAAAAAAGCATGAGATTTTACTTGGGATTTGAAGGAAACCAAAGAAGGCAAGAGGCAGAGAGAAAGTGGTAGAGCTTTCCAGGTATGGAGGACAGCTGGAGAAAAGGCCTGAAGCCAAGGGATGGGAGTATCTTCTTTGTGGAACAGCCAGGAAGCCATTGTCACTGGATGGAAGAGTATCTCTCAGGCAGTAGTGTGTAAGAAAGTTGGAAAGATGAAGGAGCTTTGCGTACCAAACAAAGGACTTTGTATTTGATAAGGAGCCACTGGAGTTTGAGTAGGGGAGTGACATGGTTGGACTTGCACTTTAGGAAAATGACTTTGGCAGCTGAATGGAGGATGGATTGGAGTGGAGAGAGACTTGAGACAGGAAGACCCACTAGCAAACTATTGCAATGGTCCAAGGTTGAGTTAATGAAGACCTGCATCAGGATAATGGTAGTATCGGAAGAAATAAGGAGACACATTTGAGAGATGTTTCAAAGGTGAAATTGCATTAACAACAGATTGGGTTTGGGGGTTAAGAGATAGGGAGAAGTTGAGAATGACACCTAGGTTGTGAGACTGAGGGTCTGAGAGGATTACTCTCAAAATGTTCTTTAGTTTTAAGAAATCTTCATTACTTCCTTGCCAAAAAAAAAATAATAATAAAGGTGAAAGAGGAAGTGGTGCCACTGTGGAAGCTACAGGCAAGTAGTACCAGCCAGGACCTTGGTGACTGCCCTCAACAGTGATTGGGATTTTGAGCAAGAGAAGGATTTGGGGGGAAGATAATGAGTTCATTTGCATGAACTCATGCTGAGTGAAGTGAGCAGAACCAGGAAAACATTGAACATAGTAACAGCAACATTGTGCGATGACCAATTTTGTTAGGCTTAACTCTTCTGAGCAGTGCAGTGATCTAAGACAATTCCAAGAGACTCATGATGGAAAATGCTATCCACCCCCAGAGAAAGAACTATGGAGTCTGAATTCAGATCGAAGCATATTATTTTCTCTTTTTTGTTGTTTTTTGTGTTTTCTCATGGTTTTTCCCTTTTGTTCTGATTCTTCTTTCATAACATGACTAATGTGGAATTAAAAAAAAAAAGATAATGAGCTCAGTTTTGGACATGCTGAGTTTAAGATGTCTACCAGACATCCAATTTGAGATGTCTGAAAAGCAGTTGGAAATGTGAGATTGGTGGTTGTTTTGGAGGAGTTAGGTAGATTTAAGAATCATCTACACATAGCGATAATAATTAGATCCATGGGAACTGATGAGATCACCCAGTGAAGTAGGATAAGAGAAGAAAAGAGAACCTAGGACAGAGTCCTTTGGGACATCTATGGCCTGGAGGAAGATCCTGCAAAGGAGACTAAGAAGGTGCTGTCAGAGAGGTAGGAGGAGAAAAGTGGAGAAGAAGGGTGGTTGTTTTGTAGTTAGGAGGAAAGGGTGGTGTCCTGAAAACCCAGAGGGAAGAGAGAGTCAAGCAGAAGAAGGTGATCAACAGTGTCAAATGCTACAGAGAGGTCAAGAAGAATGAGGATTGAGAAAAGGCCATTGGATTTGGCAATTGAAAGAACACTGATAACTTCAGAGAGAGTAGTTTTGGTGGAATGATGAGGTCAGAAGCTGGGTTGTAGGGAGTTAAGAAGAGAGAGGAGAGGAAATGAAGGCACCTATTGCAAATGGCCTTCTCAAGAGTTAGCCAGAAAGGGCAGAATAGATGAAAAAAGGATGATAGCAGTGATGGAAAGGTCAAGTGAGAGACACAGACATGTTTGTAGGCAGTAGAGAAGGAGCCAGTAGACAAGGAAAGAGTAAAGAAAAGTGACAGAATGGGGATGACAGAGGGGGCAGTCTCTTGGAGGAGAGGGGTAGAATTGGATCACTTGTGCAGGTAGATTTTGCCTTGGTAAGGAAAGAGTAAAGCCACCTCTTAATGTGAATGACCTTAATTTTTTTTCTGTAGAACAGGAGGCAAGGTTCTCAGCTTAGAGGATAGGGGGAGGGAGACCATGGAAGGTTTGAGGAAGGAGGAAAAGGTTTGGAAGAGCTATTGTGGAGAATGGGACAATTAATTCTTATAAGGGATGTGCAAAAGGATTACCTGGCGTAATGGGAGCCAAGTTGAGGTTGTAGAATATAAATCTGTAGCAGTCAGAAAGGCTTTATGATTTTCTCTACCTATGTTTAGCAGCACGTATATAGGAGTTAAGGTAGAGGATGATGGGAGTGATCCACGGCTGAGACTTGATAGGACACAATTGGAAAGAAATATCATAAGGGGACTCAAGAGAGGAAGACAGTATAGAGTTAACCAAGGAGTCAAGATGGGGAAAGAGGAGAGACTGGTTAATGTAAGGGAGATGGCCTGGGATAGAACTGATGGGCCATGAGATTGGAGGTCACAGTGAGGATGAAGAGGAGGATTTGGTAAGGCAAGGCAGGGGAAGAGGTGAGAAGCCAGTAGATTTTAAAGGGAATGAGGAATTCTTGAACGTTTGTGGGTGATGATGAGATCAAGGGTGTGACCATCTTTGTGTGTAGTTGAGGTGGAGTGGAGTAGTTAGGTCATGGGAAGTGAGTACAGTTGAGGAACTGAGTGTTTTAGGGTATTTTAGGGATAGTCAGTGTGTACGTTGAAGTCCCCTAGAAAAGGGCAAGAGTTGAGGAGGTGAGAAAATATGTGAGCCAGGTACTAACTTCAATGAGGAATGAAGGGGAGTAACCTGGAGGTCTGTAGACAACAGCTACCAGGATTTTGATTGAGTGGTAGATATGGATTGCATGTAGTTGTTACTGTCCTTTCTTTGGGCCCAGCTTGAAGTTGCTTTTGCTAGTCAGTGTTCCCGTATTATCACATAGATGGTAACCATTTGTCACTTCCAGCACTATGATATGTCTGCATTAGCATGCACTTTGTCTTTGTTAGGCAGGTAGACCACATGGTGGATGAGTATGCTGGACATGAAATCAGGAAGACCTGAATTCAAATCGTGATTCAGATGCTTACTAGCTAGGTGACCCTGGGCAAATTGCTTAACCTTCCTGAGCCTCAGTTTCCTTGTCCATAAAATGGGGATAATAATAGCCCCTCCCTCACAAGGCTGTGGGGGGGATCAAATGAGATAACATGTAAACTCTCTGCAAACTTGAAAGCATTATATAAATGTCAGCTCTTTTTAATGCTAAGTATTACAACTGTTTCATTCAATCGTAAACCCCTTAGGTGAAGAAAAAACATGGTCTGACTCACATTTTTCAACCTCAGAGCACCCGTTGCCATCCCTTCTTCCACTGCCCCACCCCCCCAATCATGAGCCATTAGTTCTGATGGTGATATGTTTGCCTCACCTCAGGTCTTGCGCTTCAGTCGTGGGAGAAGCCTACGAAAAAAGAGAGAGAGGCTCAAGCAGGAGAGGAGAGCTCAGTCTGTGCCACGTGATGAGGTGGCCCAGAGCAAGGTGTGTGACAGATGGAGGATACACATGGGGCCTGGTCGGCCACCATGATGGGCCTCTGGCAGCCTTTCCCTTCTTCTCACCTCTTGTTCAGACAATAGCCGGAGTCTTCCTCCTTTCTTTCGGCTTCATTTTCTTTCTATGCTAAAGTTTCGAATCATGGTCCCCAACACTTTGAATGTTGCAGCCTCCTGTTTTATTCCTCTCACAATCACAAATATTAATAGGAAAATGAGGGTTTTTTTTCCCACCTTCCCTTGACATAGGCAAGATGGATATCTAAGGAAGTCTGGGATACAAGGGCTAGGCTTTTTAACACAAAATTTTATCAATAACTACTTGCTTCTTTTTGAAAACCTTCTCCCTTGATTCCCAATATGAAACTTGTAGAAGTTTTAATTAATTTATAAGCAAGGTTTTAAAATTTCATTTACAACTGATTCATATTTTATTTGTACATGATTCATGTTTTATTTTATTTACAAATTTTGAGGCCATATAGCTTTGGTCCCAGGATTTAGAGATGCCCTATAAATTTGATAAGTCCAGAATTAGACAGAAGATGTCATTTCAGCTATTTTCAGTGAAGTACTTGTATTTAAAAGGACTACTTAAAAGTCCAGGGGCAGCTAGGTGGCGCAGTGGATAGAGCATGGCCCCGGATCCAGGAGGACCTGGGTTCGAATGTGGCCTCAGACACATAACACTTACTAGCTGTGTGACCCTGGGCAAGTCACTTAACCCCATTGCCTAGCCAAAACAACAACAACAAAACAAACAAACAAACAAAAGTCCTGGACCTAGGGGCAGCTAGGTGGCGCCGTGGATAGAGCTCTGGCTTTGGAGTCAGAAAGACCTGAGTTCAAATCCTGCCTCAGACACTTGACACTTACTAGCTGTGTGATCCTGGGCAAGTCACTTAACCCTGACTACCTCACCAGGACAAAAAGATGTCCTGGACCTGCTGTGTTCACTTGAGACACCACCATTTGCTAGGTAGCAGTCAATGTTGTTTATGGAGAAAAAAAGATTTAGTATGTCTCTAAATAATTTCTAGATGGTCCCACGTAGACTGGGGACCTTTTCTATATTTGCTATTAAGGCTCTTGGCTTCCATCATCCAACTATGGTCTGTCTGAATAACACCCTGAGTGTAATTGGTTGGGTGATGGTTGAAATGGAAAAGTCCATATCCTACCACAGTGCCAAAATGTTAGAACATTGAGATGTCTTAGATCTACACAGCTCTAGAAAAGCATTGAGAGAAAATTGTCTTGTTTGACTGTATATATTTCTTACAAGAAATTTTATCTGATTTTTCCTCCAATAGTTTGAGAGGTAGGAGTGAGAGAAAATAGATTTCTATTTATTTTTAATAGAAAGATGTTGGAGAATACTATGCAGATGTGGAATGTTGCATACACTGTCAAATGAAGTCACTGCTGCATTATTAGTGTTACTTAATCATTTTACTTTGTTTCAAGAGACCTTTCATGAAGCATGAATAATCTGTAAATAGATGTAATATAAAAACAAAACACATCAGTAAAACTTTTTAAAAGATGGGGGGAGAACAGGACTAAGAATATCACTTTTCTTAATACCTAAAAATAAAAAGAGCATTCAGAGTATTGGTTTGTTCTGTTAAAATCAGACCAAACAGAAGGAGCAAATATCCAATCTACAAGGCCCTGAAGTTGTGCTCCCTTCCAGGTATCCCTATAGGATACCTGGATTCTCAACCATTTTTTTGGTCATGGATATCCTTTATCACTCTATAGAAGCCTATGGACCCTTTCTCAAAGTGGTATTTTTATATGTACAAAATGAAATATGTAGAATTACAGAGGAAACCAGTTATATTGAAATACAGTTATCAAAATATTTTTTTTTAAAAAATCAAGTTCATGAACATATATAAGAACCCCAGCTGTTGCTAAAGATATCATCACTATCCAGGATTCTGATAGGTTCAGAAACAGATGGCAGATCAGTTTTCTTTTTTAAACAAAGTTGAACCCTACAGGGAGTCATTGTGTTACAGTATAGAGGCCTGGATTTGAATCCCAGCTCTGTCACTTACTAATTTTATGACCTGGGCCAATCATTCCACCTTCCTGGGCTCCCCTCATTTCTCATCTATAAAATCAGGGACCCTAAAAGGACCTTTTATAAGTTTCTTTCTCTATTTCTTGTAGGGAAGTGTCTCAGCAGCAGACACTCCCAGCAGTGAACAAGCCACTCAAAAGAAAGGAGAGGCCAAAGAGGAATTCTACTCAGCATCTCCAGAGCCCCCAGCAAAGAATAACCGAAAGAAAAAGCTGAAACAAAAGGTAGTGATGGATTTGAAAGCAGCTCCCTCTGAGGAAAGGAGCTGAGAGACAAGTGGTTAGGCATATGTCTGGGAATATTATTTGATGTTGAATAGAAGACCCACCTCCCTTGCCAGCAATGGTTTGCAACAAGAGTACAAAAGTCAAATCTGGCCCTCTGACATACAAGCTATGCCTGTAGCCAACATAGTTATTTGGAGACAAAGTGTTTGGTGGAGAATGCTGCACAGTTATTAGTCTGGGAGGGGTAGTAAATCTGAAGAACAAACTTTGAAGCAAAGTGGTGTAGTTATGTTATCAAAAAAGTGTACGAAGTATGCCTTTAGCTACTTTTTTGTGTTTTGAACCCCCTTTTACAATCTAGTGAAGCCTGTTGACCCCTTCTCAGAATAATGTTTTAAGTGCATAAAAATACATAGAATTACAAAAGAAACCAATTATATTGCAATACAGTTATCAAATCAAAATATTTTTAATGATAATAAACCTGAGGTCTATTGCCCTTATCAGATAAATAATGGCCTTGCTATCGCTGATCCACTTTTGGGTGATAATGGTAATTCAGAGGGGTACCATCTCACTCTCTCTTTTAGGTATCTGCATTCTCTGACCCCACCTCACCAGCAGACCAGCAGCCTATTCCTGGGCACCAGAAGAACTCACATAATCACCCCAAAAAAAGGAATAAGCATCGTTGCTCATCTCCCCCACCCCCTCATGAGTTCAGAGCATACCAGCTGTATACATTGTACCGTGGAAAGGATGGAAAAGTTATGCAGGTGACTTAAGTCATTAATTGAGGACAATTACAACAGGGCTGTCTATGTAAAATGAAATTGGGTGTGGGAAATGGAGGGGTGGTGAGGAGGAACTAATTTTGCCATATAATGGAATTGTAAGATATCTCTGAAGCAGGCTTCACCACAGTGTTAGTCAATCTTCTGTTTGTCAGGCCAAAGTACTCTGAGTGTGCAGAGGTCACTGATTTATAATTGTTTTATACCAAGGTAAATGTAGGGTTGTTATGAGGATCAAATGAGTTAAATGTATGTAATGCACTTGGCAAACCTTAAAGTACTATAGAAATGGCATTGTCATAGTTATAAAGGCATCACATTGTGCTAAAATGAGCACTTCAAGGCTAGTACAGAATGGAACACACTGTTGAATTGCTAGAGCTGGTGAGGCTCCCAAGAAGTGGCACAGAGAGTAGAAAGGGAGCCAACATGGTATAGTGAGAAGAACCCCAGGCTTAGAATCAAGAGGGACCTGGATTTGAATCCTACCTCTAAGACTTACTATCTGGGTGGCAATGGGCAAATCCTTTAAATTTCCTGAGCCTGAGTTTTCTCATCTATAAAATGAAGATAATCATAGCTGTGGACCCTACTTCTCAGGATGGTTGTAAAGATCCAGTGAGATAATAACTGTAGGGTATTTTGCAAACCTTAAAGAACTGTTAATGTTTGTTGTCATCACAACAGAGAATAGTAGCAACAAAAATATTTAATATACCTTGTAAGTCAGTAAATGCTACATTGATAGTAAAGTCTTTTTTTTTTGTTAACTGCCTTTAAAGTTGATATTGAAAAAAATAAAAGATACTACAGATACTTTTGATGAATTAAATTGCCTGAACAATATACATATGTATGAAAAAAATACAGTGATTTCATGTATATTCATGCCTAGAAAGGCACTTGTATGTGTATATCCCAAATGCTTAACTCTCAGAATGAAAGGGAACTACATATGACCCTTACATTTTAGCCTTAGCTACAGAATTTGAACTTTTCTGGGTCTTTGAGAAGGAACCCATCAGCTCAGAGCATTTTTAGTTGTTTCCAAAGAAGAAATAAAGTTTTGCTAATTGGATCTGTGTTAATGATTTTTCTGCTAATATTCCTGATTAATCAAGACTTTGATTTTTTTTTCCCCAGGCACCAATAAATGGATGTCGCTGTGAACCACTGATTAATAAACTGGAGAATCAGCTGGAGGCAACCGTTGAGGAAATAAAGGCAGAGTTTGGAACTGTGCAGGATAAAATGAACACAAAACTGGGGCAGATGGAAAATAAGACCCAACATCAAGTAAGGAAATGAATCAGGTCAATAATATTGACAAGTACTTCCAATAAAAAGCAAAATCTGGGCAGGACCTAAGGATCCAGATTTTTTTTTCTCTGCAAACACTCCAAGGAGAAACTTCATCTTCATGAACAACACTTGTACGCAAAATGATAAGCTGTGTGAATTGGAATTTTAGAAAATGGTATTTTTTTTAAAGAAGATCTCTTTTTGGAGCAGCTAGGTGGTAATGGATAGAGCACCAGCCCTGGAGTCAGGAGGACCTGAGTTCGAGTCTGGCCTCAGACACATAACACTTACTAGCTGTGTGAGTGACCCTGGCCAAGTCACTTAACCCCATTGCCTAGCCAAAAAAAAAAATCTCTTTTTCTTGGACTTGTAATGTCTATTCTCCATCCAAGAGAATCTACTTTATTCTTTATCACCCAATCAATCAATAAGTGTTCATTAAGTCCCTGAACCTCTCAGCTTATGGAATGTTAGTATCCCTACAGGAGGACTAAAGTTCATTGTTAAGCATTCCTGAGAGTGTTGTGAAAAAGAACATGAGTTGGAGCTAAGAGACCAGGGTTCAAATTTTATATGTAGTATTATATTATAATATGTCACATTATAATATTTATACACATACACGAGCATCTGCCAGTAGTGGACACACCTAGACGTTCTCTTGCCTTGTTAGTACCATGAAAACAAAACAAAAATAGACTAAAACAAAGTGGGCAGGGTATGCTGAATTCCTTTTTAAACCTCCCCCCCCCAATCTGATCGTTATTAGGTCTGCCCTGATTGCTTTTAGTCTTTGCGGGTATAGGGGATGGTGTCTATCTGCCTGCATGCTTCATATCACATGACCTTACTGATGGACTCTTTTTGCATGGAATCCTAGTTACGAGTTCTGGATAAGTTGATGGCTGAGCGGCTATCAGCAGAGAGATCAGAGTGTCTGAACCGTCTGCAGCAACATACTGAGCTGGAGAAGCATGAGGGAGAAAAACGACAGGTAAGCACCAAAGAGTATTAATCTTTTTTTGACTCAAAGACATACCTGTTAACACTTGTAGATCTACCGTACATCAGGCTAGGGGCCTGAAACCCCTAAAGATTGTTGTATTACATAACATTTGATCTCTGCAATCCTGAAGTGAATTTAACATCAATTCTACTTTTTGCTTAATGTGGGCATTGAGCTTTCCTCAGACATTGCAGGTATTATTTCTACTCTAAAGTAGAGCTCATAATTGAAAGCAGCTAGAAATTTTGCTTTAGTCAGTCAGCAAGGATTTATTTTTAAATACTTACCAAGTGCCAGGCACTGGCTAAACACTGAGAATACAAAGAAAGACAAAAATATGGTCCCTGCCATAATATGGTTCCATTCTAGTGGGAGAGACAACATACAAACAACAATGTATATGAAAGTATAAAGGAGAAGTAATCTCTGAGGGAAGGCACTAGGGTGAGGGAGGAGAGGAGCAGGAATGGCTGCTTGTTGAATGTAGGAATTGAACTGAGTTTTGAAGGAAGCCAGGAGGCAGAGGTAAGGAGGGAGAGTATGGGGGTCCTGGAGTAAAAATGTACAGTGTCAGAAGATGGAATGTTATGTGCAAGGAATAGCCTTGCTGGATCATAGAGAATGTGGAAGAGGGTAAAATATAAGAAGATTAGAAAAGTAAGAAAGGTTTGGGTTATGAAGGGCTTTAAAAGCCAAACATGATTTTGTATTCATAATGGAGGTAATAGGGTATAACTGGAGTTTAATAAGCAGGGAGGTGATATGTTCAGACCTACTTTTTAGGAAGATCACTTTGGCAGGTGAGCAGAAGATGGAATGGGGAGAGACTCAAGGTAAGGAGACCAACAAGAAGACTTTTGAAATGAGGAAGGCCTAGACCAAGATGGCAAACACATATGGAGATGTTGTGAAGGTAGAAACAATAAATCTTAACAATGGATTGGATGGAATGAGGAGTCAAGGATGACGCCGAGGTTGTATGTCTAGGCTGCTGGCGGGTGGTGGTGTCCTTGACAGTAATTAGAAAAATATAGAAGAGGGGAGGATTTGTGAGGAAAGATGATGAGTTCTCTTTTGGACATGTTGAGTAAGATGTCTATGGGTATCCAGTTCAAGATGCCCAATAGACATTTGGATTTATGAGACTAGAGCTCAGGAGAAAGGTTAGGGCTGGATAATCAGCTCTGAGAATCATCTGCATAGAGATGATCATTGAATCCATGGGAACTGAGGAAATCACCAAAGAGGGAGACTAGAAGAGAACCCAGGACAGAACTGTGAAGGATACTCGCAGTTAGTGGTATGACCTAGAGAAAGATCCAGCAAAGGAGACCGAGAAGAAGTGGTCAGACAAGTAGAGAGGAGAACTAGGAGAAAACAGTATCAGAAAACCTAGGAAGCAGTAGGTAACCAGAGAAAAGGATGATAGAAAATGTAAAGATTTGCACAGAGGTCAAGTAAAATGAGAATTTAGAAAAGGCCAGTAGATAAAAAATTAAGAGATCACTGGTGACTTCGGAGAGAGTAGTTTCAGTGGAATGGGGTCAGAATCAAGACTGCAATGGGTTTAGAAGACGGTGAGGAATTGGAATCATTAACTATAGATAGCTTTCCCAAAGGGCTTAACCACAAAAGGGTAGAAAGATAAAGTGGTGGGATCAAGCAAGAGTTTTTTAATGGTGAGGTAGACATGAGCATGTTTATCAGCAGTAAAGAAGCAGCTAATAGATAGGGAGATATGGAAGATAAGTGAGAGCTGAGACAGCAGAAGGAGTCAGTTCGCTGCAAAAGATGGGATGAAATAAGATGAACGGGTTGGCAAGGAGAAGGGCTATTGCTACATGTGAAACGGGTGAAAGAGACAGTGGAGGAAGACATCTGAAGGATATGAAATTAGAAGGAGGGAAGTAAAGAGAGCTGTCAGTGAATGGCTTTAATTTTTTCAATGAAGTATGAGACAAGGACTTCAGCTAAGAGTGTTGAGGGTAGGGGTGCCATAAGAGACTTGAAAAAGACTTTGGAAGATTTGTATTGTTTTATACTACATATCTTTAGACAAGTCAGTTCTTATTAAGATTTCATAGCTAGATTTTCCCCCTGACTTTTCTCTTCTTTACAATCCCAACATTCTAGCCAGGTAGAGCTGAGAACTTGATAGATCCCCAACACCCCTTGCTGTCTCTGCTTATCTAACTTGCTATAGATTCTTTCAGATATTTAATATTTTAATTTTTCCCCAATTATATTTAAAAACAATTTTTTACATTTCATTTTTTTAAAAATTGAGTTTTCAAATTCTCTCCCTCCCTCCCCTCCCTACTTTTTGAGAAAGCAAGCAATTTGATATAGGTTATATGTGTGCAATCATGCAAAACATTTCCATATTAGTCATGTTGTGAAAGAAAACACAAAACCAAAAAAAATTAAATAAATAAGTAGGCTTCATTCTGCATTCAGACTCCATCAGTCATTTCTCTGGAGGTGGATGGCATTTTTCATTATAAATACTTTGGAATTATCTTGGATCATTGTATTGCTGAGAATATAGCTAAGTCATTCACAGTTGATCATCATACAGAATTGCTATTACTGTATACATTTTCTCTTGGTTCTGCTCATTTCACTTTGCATCAGTTCATGTAAGTCTTCCCAGGTTTTTCTGAAAGCATCCTACTCATCATTTCTCACAGTACAATAGTATTCAAAATCACATATATCACAGCTTATTCAGTCATTCCCCAATTGATAGACATCCCCTCAATTTCCAATTCTTTGCCACCATAAAAAGAGCTGCTATAAATATTTTTGTACATACAAGTCCTTTTCCTTTTTGTTTTTCTTTTTAATCTCTTTGGGATACAGACCTAGTCCATTATTCATTTTTAAGTGATTTAATATGTATTCCACTTCCATCCATGAATCCTTCTCTGATTTCACCGCTCAGCACCCTCCCTCCCCTCAAAAAAATCCATTTTTAAATAGCATCAAAAGATGATAGCTGTGAAGGAACCCTAGAGAGAATTTGGTCTGAACCACACCCCCATTGTGCAGATGAGGAGTCACCAAGAGGGGAAGTTACTTCCCCAAGGTCACAGAACTATGAAATAGTAGATCTTCTATACTCAAATCCAGTCTTCTTTCGACTACACTAAACTGCTTTTCAAGATGATAATGGCCAAGTCTAATAAGTTCTTGGGAATAATCTAATAAGATGAAATATAATAGGGATGGATGTAGAATCTTACACTTGAATTCGAAAAACAACTTCACAAATATATGAAGTTCTATATGTCAATAATATGCTATAGAAGCCAAGAAAGTCAATGCAATCTTGGACTGATTAATGAGCAGAGTAGAACATTACTCTAGTAACGGTCTACTAGACAATCATAGGACCACGGAATTTGAGAGTTGGAAGGCACCTCTGCAGCCTTCTAGTCCACTCTTTAAAGACTGGCTAAAGAACCAGTATATTTAGTCTGGGGAGAAGAGTTAAAGGAGACATTCTAGCTCTGTCTTCAATTTATCTGACAGGCTGACAAGTACAAGAAGGGCTATTTTTGTTCTCCTTGGCCTTCCTAGCTTGTTGTTGTTCAGTCATGTCTGATTCTTCGTGACCTATGAGGTTTTCTTGGCAAACATACTGGAGTAGTTCGCCATTTCCTTCTCTGGTGTGTCTCCATTTTACAGATGAGGAACTGAAGAAAGTAGGGGTTAGGAGACTTGCCCAGGGTCACACAGCTAGTAAGTGTCTTGAGGCAGGATTTTAACTCAGATCTTCCCAACTCCAAGTCCAGAGTTCTATCCACTGCATCACCTGACTTGCCTTCTCTGCTCCTAATAGCCAACAGTTTCTTAATCCATTCTTAAGCAGACGCTGATGTAGACAGATTAGACCAATCAATCTTTTTGGCCCTTTCCCTTCTGGCCACTCCAGCCAGACTCCCAACAGATGTGATAATTGGATATAAAGAGAACAGTCAAAGAAAATCGAATTTTCAATCTTGGGCTATCTGGGGAATGGTTGTGTTACTGAAGGAAAGAAGGAAGTTGAGAATGGAAATTGGTTTGGGTAGGTGAGGAGAGATTGTTTTACAGAGATGTAGTCTCTGCCTTCTCTGAATTCCTATTGTGTTTTGTTTGTGCTTTGCTAACACATTCTGTATTGGATTACAGTTCTTTCTATAGTGTTATGTATCACTGAAATGAGCCTCGTACAGATTTGTTCAGTCCCTTCATGACCCCATTTGGGTTTTTTTGGCAGAGATACTGGAGTAGTTTGCCATTTCCTTCTCCATTCCAGCTCTATTCTCCAGCTTATAGATGAGGAAGCTGAGGCAAACAGAGTTAAGTGACTTGTCCAGGGTCACACAGCTAGTAAATGTCTAAGACTGGATTTGAACTTATAAAGATGAGTCTTCTTGACTTCAAGCCTGGCACTCTATCCACTGTACCACCAAGCTGCCCATGAGCTTAAATGTATAGCTGAATTTGTTGTGGTTTTTGAAATATTTTGTATTGTATCACACACTAATTGAATAAAATGAATACATTTCTCCCACTTCAAGGCATCTCCCTATCCCACCCCTAAGGGCAGAGATTCTGTCTTGTCTTATCCTAACAAGATTTAGCCAGTACCTTACACAGGTAAAGCCTTCAGTAAATATCTGATGAATAAATATCTGCCTTTGTGCTTCATCAGTAACAACTGAGAAGTCTATATGGTGCCAGGGATAGGGAGAAGACAGGAACACCTGATTTCAAATCCCACCTCTGACCTGCTATTTGACTCTAGGCAAGTCCCTTAACCTCTCAGTGCTCTAGGCAACTCTTTTAAGACTATAAACTTCAGAGACATTACTCACCTGGGAGTTCCCAACACCAGTGAAATATAAGCCCACACCCTATTCTAGTAATAACCAATGGAGAACAAGTAGAAGACAGGAGTGCACAATAATTATATATGGTATTTTATAATTACAAAGCCTTCATGTGTATTATCTAATTTGATCCTCCCATTATCACTTTGAGTATTGTATCATTAGCCCCATTTTATGGATTTACCTAACTCTTCAGTCCAGTATGTTTTCCACTGTGCCACAAAAAAACTGATAAATTTATTGAGTCTTTACGGGTTAGCTCATGAAGTAAGAAAGGGGATGGGGTGGCAAATTTAAGGGCCTGAGCTACAAACTGTCATCTTTGATAAAGCTCAATGATTGCTTTATTTCATTTGTAGATTTCATTTTGCATCTCCTTCATTAGGTGTCCCTAGTGGATGAATTGAAAACATGGTGTATGTTAAAGATTCAAAACCTGGAGCTGAAGCTTTCTGGAGATTCTAGAGCCTCCAGGCCTAAATCAACCCCATCTACTTCTGAATCCCTCACAGGTAACCTGAACTCAGACACTACTTAAAATTGCATACCACAGAACTTTTAAAGGATTCACAGTCCCGTGGCATCATTTTAGTTTCTTAAAAGATAATGGTTAGCAGAATAGGAGTCATGACTAGCCTTTGGAAGACATTTTTGATGTTCACCTCGTGTGTCTGAGCTCAGCTATAGCATCTCAAGATTAGGGATGGTTAACTAGGATATCTATCCCTTACATGTCAATGGGGGAAGGGCCTTCTCCCTCTGAACTGCTCCCTTTCCTTATTCTCCTCCCTGACTTAGGTTGAAACTCTACCAAATATCAGTTCTCTACAAATAGCAATTAATTCACTGACTTGCTACTTTGTGCTAGACAGCGATGTCTCAGAGATAGCCTGGGATTGAATAGCATATCTTTTAATTGACACTGATTATCCTTATTTTATGTTACAGTGGATATTAACTTTGGGAACATTCACAGTATGGGGGAGTTGTTCCTTCTCTGTACTTTTTTCCTCGTTGAGATTTGTGTCTTACCAAAGCCCCACCAGGCTGCCTCTTTTCTAGTCTTTTCCAGATGGAGGGGATCCCTCAGATATGCAGGCTCTGGCTTCCCATCTCTTTGGGAACACCTATCTTATATGTTAGGGCTAATTCCAGTTTTCCAACAGACTTTGTAAGTGAGGAATAGCACCACCCTTTCCAAATTGTGGGAAAAGGCTAGATATGGGTGAAAAGTATTTATACAATATCAATAGTACTTAATGAACTTTTCTAGTTTCCTAGGGAAATTTAGCATCATGAGAAATCAGGAAATGGAATCTTGAAACTTCAGGTTTAGATTAAAGTAGCTTGTTTGGCTTTGGTGCCCTAAGAGTCTAAAATACAAGCAGGGCAAAAAGAATAATGGCAAAGGAGAGAAAGGATAAAAAAAAAAAAAAGGACAAATGTGGAAGTAATGGGATGGATAGAGGGCTATAGGTTGTCTGCCTCAGTCCTTAAGGTAATTCTAGACAGCGTTCCCTACAGTTTTTAAAATAAGAGTGTTGATGCAGAGTAATGTGATTATATGTGATCAAGTGAATAAGCTGCATTTGACAGTTTTCTTTTCTTTTCCCAATAGGTGCAGACCAATCAGTGGTGACCACTACCAGTCCAGCCACTGCTTCTGCTATCCCTCCTCAGGTTGTCAGGCCCAAGGAAAAGGCACTTAGTAGTTCTACTTCTTCCAACAGACTACAGCAGGAACCAGCATCATTAGACTGTGGGAACTCTAAACTGAGACATGTGAAGGTACAGACAGCTTTATTGCCCTCAACTGAAGCAATTAAATGTGAGCACCAGGCTGGTCACTGCATGGACAAAGGAACTCAAACAAAGAAGTCTGGGAAAAGTGGGCAGACAAGGCATAGGCCCCAGCAGCATGTATCAACACATGTACCTGGCAGTACATGCACCCAGCAACACCCAGCAGACCACCAGGCTGGCCCTCCCATTCGAGATACCTCCCAAGCTCTAGAAATTACCCAGTATTTTTTTGAGGCTGTATCTACACAAATGGAAAAGTGGTATGAGAGAAAGATTGAGGAAGCCCGTTGCCAAGCTAATCAGAAAGCACAGCAAGATAAGGCTACACTAAAAGAACATATTAAGAGTTTAGAAGAGGAACTTAGTAAGCTAAGGACTAAAATACAAAAGGAAAGTTAGCACCTGGGCACTGAGGTGTTAAAGTACTTTGGAGGATTTCTGATTTTGCTATGAACAGTAGCTGGGATTGAAATGTTCTTCCTGGTGCACAAAGACTTGCCTTTAAACACAAACATACACATACAATACTTAATTTCTGAAATGTGATCATTATGTGACTTTTGTGCCCTGAATTCTTATTGTTGAAGTTCTCCTACCTGAAACCAAGAGGAGTAGTATCAAGTTTCATCACAAAGGCCAAAACTCAGTTCAGATTTATGGGAAGTTTTCAGTCCTGGATTGAGTGGGCCAGGCTAAGAAGATTGTTAAACTGTGGGATATATAACGGTTTCAAGCTTTAGCCTAATATTCGGGAGGTATGAAATATGTGCACCAAAAAACAAAAGCCCTTTGTGAAGTCAAGCCTACTGGTTCCACATTTATGTTCAAACTCACCTGCTGTGCCTCGACAATGATAGATCTCTGAATGATCTGTGACTTTGAGATGAATTATACCTGTCAAGCTTGCCATTTTTATAAGTCTGACAAAAAAAACCCTAGGGAAAAAAGGTTTCAAGGGGAATGAAATTTTTTGATTTTCATGTAGTCCCCCTTACAAAACTGTAATCCAAAAATCACTGAAAAGAGGAAGAGCCTAAAACCCATTGTAATCATGTGGATTATGATAGTATATTTAAATAAATTATTTGTGATATAGTTAATGGAAGTGGTTATATTAGCAGAGTTGGAAATGCTTAGAGCTTCTAATGAACACTTGTTCACAGTTACTGTGTTTGTGGACCAGTTTCCTTTGGCCAATCTTAGAATCATTTTAAAACAAACTAATGGAAAAAATATTTTAACTTTACAATTTCCCCAGAGTTTCTGTGAGCAATTGAAAATCAAACTCAAATTATCTGAAATCCCTTCTGAATTTGAGCTTATGATATTGAGGATTTTATGGCGATATGGAGACTTCTGTTCATACCCTAAAATGGAAATTGTTCAAATCATATTTAAATTATTCTTTTCTCTTCAAAGAACCTTCAAGTTATCTCTGCTAAATTGACCTAATGATGGCAAATTGGATAACTGAATCATCAGACCCCCTCCCACCATTCTCCAATTTAGCATGGCATTGAGGCCTTTTTCACTGATGTCATGAAAAGATAATCAAGACTTCAGAAGTGTAATTTTGCATTGAAACCTTTAGGAGGTACCAAATTAACCAGAAGGTGTTTAAGCAGAAGTTGGATGAAGACTTGTCAGGAATGCATAGAAGGGATACCTTCCTGTCCAGGTATTGGTTGAACTGGATTACCCAGCTGATCCTTCCAACTCTGAGATTCTTTAATTCACTAATTAACCTTGCCCTTCAAATTTCTGGTCTTTTGGAACATAACAGACATAAACATCTGCTTAAAATTCCTAGTTTATCTAAGAATTTCAGTAGCATATACTTTTTCTGCTGACAAACTTCAGAAATCTATTATTTATTGTCCTTTCTTTATACAAAATAGCATGTTTATTAAACCAAATGCAAAAGAATTTTTTTTGGAGAGTAAACATACCCAAAAGCTTCCCTGCCCCCTCCACCAAAACAAAACAAACAAACAAACAAAAAAACACCAAAAAACTCCAACCCATAGTACCAGAGTCTATTAACTAGTGACCTATTAAATTTGTATTTTGGGGTAGTATTAAATTAAGGTAATCCCCAATAGATTAACCCAGTGCATGAATTTCACTATAAAACTGATTTAATATTATCTCAAATGGGCATTTATCAGTATTTTTCGTCCTCTTGTCCTTAAACTGTATTGCTCAGGAGCTGTGCAGCCTTCCACTCATTCTACCCCCTTAGGTTTCATTAGTAGCTCTAGAGGCTGCCTACCCCATTAACCTTTTGCCAGGTGGAATAATTTCCTCTAACTTGTTCCTAAAGCAAAATCATAGCTCATGGAACTTTAGATCTGGAAGAGACTTCAGGGATCATTTAATTCAACCTCAGGAGAGGTAAATATAACCTAGGAACATTCCTTAATTCAATCCAACAAGTATATAGTGAGCACCTAGCACCAGAAGAAGTGAAATCCACAAAATAATTCTGAAAGCTATAATTCTCTGCCCTTGTTTAATAAGATACCAGGTCGCCAGCTTGAACTCAAGGATTGTCATTCAATTTCAAACTCATTTTCATTTTGAAAATACAAGTATACTATATAGCTCTTTTAAAAAAAAGCAGTAGGAGTGTGGGAAATACTGGTTTGCTTAAAGCCAACAAACCAACACCTTTAGGCAGATGATAATTCCGTTGTTACACTGCCATCTTGATAAACTATGGAGTGAAGACGCAGAGGGAAAAAGAGGTAACCTGTTTACTGACCCAAAGCTACTGTCTCCAGTCTTTCAACCTTTTTAAACCCATGCTCAGTAAGTAGACTAAGGCTATACAAGTATAAATGCAGTAGCTTCCTGAGTACAATAAAACCTGGACTTTCCTACTGATGTTACCCTGCATTATGATGGCAAGCTTTGGTCCGAATTTTAGTTCTCTTGTTTGGTATTATCAAAAATAAGTCCAAATCTGTCTGTAATTTTTCTTACAGTTTTTGCCTCACTTATATCTACAAGTAAAATGTCACAACTGTAATCCTAAAGAATAGAATAGTGAGCAAAAAGGAAAATGGTATCTTACCATATAAACAAATGTGTCAAAATTGGGGATGAAATATTTATAGGTTGATAGGAAAATTTGCTAATATGCAGAATTCTGCATTATAGCCAGTTTTTTTCAGGAATGCATATATTCTGTATGTTAATGTGGTAGCTCTAAAGCAAAATATACTGTCTTGCAGTATTTGTGAAAATTCCTCTTAGTGAACTGCTGAGTACACTAAATATCTATCATACATATTAGTTCTGACCTTTACTTTAGTAGTTCAAAATAAAGGGATTGGGTGTTAACATGTTTACATCTTTTTTCAGTCAAATATTAAACTAATATAGGATTACAGTAAAAAGGCATGTTAATTGTTTTCCATTTAATTTTTTAATCAATTTGAATTAGTTTTAATTAAATATTACTCAGAATAAGTTATTAATTTTTATTTCATTGTATTTGAAAACATGATTTGAAAATTAGCCTCTATTTGTGAAAATGTCCCTAAAAGAGTATAGCTGTCCACCAACAAAAAAACTTTTGACGAAGTGTGAACAGACCTGCTTTTGAGTACAAAGATTTGCTGTATCAAATGGAATTACTGTCAAAGGCAAAATTATTCAGTGGCATCAGTGATAACACATGGATAAACTGGAAGGAAGATTTGCATTTTTTGTACTCCTTTGCCAATGAGCAACAAGAGAAGATGGCTGTTTATACTCTCAAATAAATGGCAAGATACAGCAGACAGCTTTTGTTTTAAATGTTTTGGGGAGACAGAAAACCCAGTTTTTTTGTAACTTCAACTTCTTATGATGGGAAATACTGACTATTACAAGGTGACTTATTAAACAAACCTTTAAAGCTGCCATCAAAAGTTAAGGAAAATCTATTTCAAAAGGACTATTTTGAAAGAATAAAGAAATTTACATGAAATTTTCCAATTAAGTTTTATTAATGGAAAAATGACATTTACTTTTCAAGTAAGTTAAAGAAATAATGTATTATCTAAACCAACAAAACACATTAGCAAGAAAAAGCACAGAACTTGATAACAGTAAGAGGAAATTGGCTATTTGCTACCCTCAGCATACAAATTATACTAAATGAATTACGGTGAAATTTTACCTTCCAAAGGCATGACAGTTATTATGCAAATTTAAAAGAAAAACTGTCCTAATAGTACTGTTTTACTGTAATAATTACTATGCGTACTTTAAGATTCATGTACAGGAGATGGGGGTAGCTACTAAGTTTTGGATAGCATCAACACATCATCCCTTGGGTAACCATTCCTAACAGTAATAAGTGATGCTTTTCCTAGACCTAAGATCCTTGTGATTAGTTATGCATCATAAATGACAATTTACTAAGGCCCAGATTGGTTGATATGCTTTAATTTCCTATCCTTAGTATTCTTTCACCAGTTGTTCACACACAGATTCAGAGCTGGAAAAAACCTCAAAGGTCATATGTTCCAACCCCTTATTTTAACAGATGAGGGACCTGGAGCTCAAAGAGGTTATGAGTTGCCCAGATTTGCATAGTATAGCCAGAATGTGAACAGAAATCCTCAAGTCCAAATCCAATGGTCTTACCACTTCACTATGCTGCCTCAGGCTGGCTCCTTCGTGATTTCTTTGGCCACTGCATCCCATACAACAAAGAAAAACACGAAATGATACTTGGTCCTTTATGCCCCTCCCATCCCACTTCAACCGTGGCATGGTAGTGGCAAAAAAAGGGCAAAGAATGCTAAGAATCATGAAGTTTATAGATAGTCTGTAAAAAGTTAACTGTACCCTAAATGCCTGATTTTGAAACTGAATAGTGTTCCATTTATGGTTCCATTTCAAAAGTACAGGCTGAGGGAGGCACGGTTAGATAGCAGTTCATCTGAAAAGAACTTGTAGTTTTTAGTGGACTGAAAACTCAACATTATTGATTCAGAAATATGATGTGGCAGCCGAGAGGAATTAATGTAGGCTACATTGAGAAGTTCAGCTTCCAATGATGTTTGGCCCTAGTTAGATCACATCTGGAGTACTGGGTTTAATTTAAGGATGACACTGGTAAGTTAAAGACAGTCCAGAGGAAGGCAATCAGCATGGTGAAGGACCTGGAGTTTATGTCATATGAAGATATGCTGAAGGAACTTGGGATGTTTATCTTGCACAAGACTGCACTGGGAACGTGGGGGTATATGATAACTATTACAGTATTTGAAAAACTGTCATATGAAAAAGGGATTATATTTGTTTTTAGCTTCCAAAAAGTTGAGAGATCATTTCTCCAGTAGAATGTCCATTCATTAATCACTGAACAAGGATCACACATTCAGGGTACCAAAGTTAAGTTATTGTTTATAGGCTGTCTAAAAACGGTGATTCTTAACATCCTCTCCCTCCTTGGAAGTTTTTAAGCAAGGGCTAGATGACCACTTGCCAGGCATACTATAATGAAGGTTCTTTTTAATTATGAATTAGACTAGAAGTTCTACCTCATGTCTACCAAACTGAAAAAGGTGACAAAAGAGGAAAATGATATGTGTTGGAGCAGCTGCAGGAAAACCAGCATATTAGGGTACTGTTGGTGTAGTTGTGAATTGGTCTAGCCATAATGAAATGCAATTTGGAACTGTGCCCAAAATTTATTAAACTGTGCATACT